AAAGAACATTTGTCTCTTTTTCATAGGCCATTTGCATTCAGGAAACATTGTAATTGTTGATGATTGTGTAAAGCTCTTAGATGTAGAGAACTATATACTCGGTGTTCCCTCCTTTTACCGGCCATTTTTTGTACAGCATGGTAAAATTTACAAATCAGAAGCTATAGATGTTTATTGTTTTGGCCATATATTATTTGAAATGTCAATGGGTTACCCGATGCAGGAGTCCGTAGCTAGACAAATAACCGACTGCCCGGATGTTTTGAGTAAGTCAGTTTTTAAAACTTATCTCTTTCGTATATTAATCCGGGTCTTTAATATCTTAGAGCATTTACTGGAGAGTATATTGTCTAAAGAGGCCTGCAAATCAGGATTGCCATCTCTGGAACAATTGAGTAATCACGAATTTTTCAAAGAATATTCTGCAAGCGAAACGTGCAGAAAATCTTCAGAGGACGATATTGCCAGGTCTCAATTTAAATTGTCGATAAATGCCAAAGAAGCTATAAAGTTAGCTATCCAAAAGACGGAAAATAGATTACGCGAGGAACAAAAATCCGTGAAAAATCAAAAGCGTATTGTGCGCGTACAAGAGCTGATGAGTTGTGAGGAAGAAAAACGGAAATCGAAACATAAAGCGGTATGACTTTCCATTGAACAAGTGGGAGATGTGAATTGTCTTTTCTATTTTAAATAGAACAGATACTCCACCCCATTTTCCCCTATTCTCAATGAACTATTTCTTAATTATCAAAAAAAAAAAAATGTTTTAACTTATATCAACCGACATTTCGGGTTTTCTTTGCCTATCTTATTAAGAATAAGAAAAACATGGAATCGGATAATTTTTTATATAAATGATTTTATTTTTTAGAAACAGGACCATAAACAGTTGAAGCTCAAACAGCAGATATCATTGCAAAATAGCAATGGAAAAGTTGCATTAGCCAGCGTGGGCCATGGAGGAGGATCCATCACCGAGTCTTCAGACACAACATCGCGTTCCTTAAATCGTATGAATAGCATCATAGGAAATAATGATTCCCAAGATATGTTGCATGACATAAAATGTATGTATATAAATACTAACATAGTTGTTAAATTCAAGATTAAATGTCCTTCAATTACACTGTGCGAAGATATTTAAAATTTTCCTGTAATTACAAGAAAAACCCAGTGGATTTTGAACTAGAACTTACAATAGACAACATGCGCTTTCTGTATTTGTAAAGTTTCGGATTAAATATTTATTTAAAGAATTAAGTTTTAGTAAATACAATGTTAGTATTGGCCTCGGAGGCCATCAACTGATACTTATTCCACTGATTTACAAATTATTCTCGAAATAACTTATATAATAAAAGGAACGTTATTTATAAAATTATACATAGCATTGATGTTAGCAGCTATTGGTGACTTAAGGGCTTCTAGTCCATTGTTGTTGATATGTAGAAGATATAAATTTGAGAAGCAATTGCATGACTGCCGAAGACAATGGTGTGGGCCATAGGTAGACCGAAAAAAAAGTACGTCACGTCCGTGGGATATTTGGGATTAGTACAAGATGGATTTATGCAATAGCAATGATAACGCAGTAAATCCAAATCCTGGCATTCATATATGCATACTGTGTATTCGGCAATGCTACTGATGGCTCAAAATACTAAAATTTGACTAAATAAATGGAAAATATTATTAAAACGTAAAAAATACGCAAGATATGTCTCTTGCTCTCTATAAAATTTCAAATATTGCAAAATACTACTCAAAACATTGGGATCCGATTGTGTATGATATGGTAAAAGGAAATAGAACAGTGTTGGCATGTTTGTCCGGGATACCATAGAATTTTGTTGTTGCAAAATAGTCAGGCTTAATCCCATGATAATTGTTTTTATAAAAACAACATTTGTTTATGGTGGAGAAAGATGGTCATTTTTACCAGGGGTAAGACAGGAAATACCTAGGTTTCGGATAGAGCCACCAATCCTCATCAGTTCCCTTGTTTTTGTCTGGTATATTCTCCCCAGGAGTTATTTTAAAAATAACACCTATGATATAACCCTGCCTCACCCCCTGGTAAGCATTACCATCTTTCTCCACTAATAAACGTTCGATGTTTTAATAAAAGTAAAATTGTAATTTCAAAATTTGAATATAATAATGTATTTGAATTATTACATTCAAAAGTGAAAACAAATATCTCTAGAATGTAAAATTACAGTACTTTCAGATATATCCTCCTCCTGGTTGTCAAATGCAGCACACATCCTTTTTAAATTGAAACAAAAATACACATATAGATGTGATATGCCTCATTTTTTTCTGCTACCTTGTAATAATTGTATCATGGTGATATCTACAAAAGGACCTCAAACAGTTTGGACCACAAACCGAATATAAACATTTTGCAGCATTCTTATTAAATTAGTAATCACGGAATGGGAGTTTTTTTTCGAGCTTGCCTTCGAGTCGTCCAGCGGCTCTAATATACGTTGTGTAGCCGAATTTGATGGAGTAAAATTTTGTCTTTGACGGCCTCTAAATATTATCTTTGTTGATCTGCTTGAGTGTTAAAATTGACAAACAAAATAATCCCTGTATTGTAGCCAGCAATATTGTCAGAAACACTTTATATCTAAAATGAAGAAATTTCAAGTAATTTTAATCCGAAAACTTTACGCTGTTAGTTTTAAAACGTCGATGCACGTGTCTTCTCTTTTAGCTCTACTTTTATAATATCTCTTAAGAATTATGTTATTAATATCGAGATTTAAAACAATCGACAGAAATGGGTATTCGTCACTAGATGGCGTTCGTAGACTCCAAAGTATCAATCTATCACTATGACATACTTTTTGCTGCTAATTTATGAATTGTTCATGCATTAAGAAAGAAGGACAAATCATTCTGTATTATCATTCTGCGATATTGGAAATAGAGTATGTTGGTGGAACTTTATAATATGGTTCTACGATTCGTCTATCGGCGCTGCGTCGGAAAACTTGTAGCTTACACTTTCATAAACGTTTGAAAATAATCCCTTTTATAAAACTGCTCAATAGAATATGTTCGATCGTCAAATACAGCTTTAAATGGACAAAAAAAGAGAGGGAAACAAATGTATTCTTTACGAATGAGCCAACATTATGCATTTGAACCCAAATTTCTTTTATTGACATGACATCTTTTTTCGACTGACAACACTATTTTAACCGCGTATTGAATAAATAAGGGATAGTTGCATATTTGTCCGTGGACTTTGATGTAGTTGACAGTCGGTTTAGATTTGGAAGTACAAACCATGAAAACCGATTCAAATTAGGATGGTAAAATGTTTTGTACGTCCGAACTACCCAAATACGCCGGGTCCATATCCTAACATCCACAAACTGGTAAGGGTGTAACAATCATACTTTTTAAATGCACCCAAATCTCGTATGCACGACGTATTTGGGTGAAATTCATATAAATACATGTGTTTTACTGAGCGGTGAAAAACGTCGATTGAATACGTATTACATATATAGTATCCCGAACGACTTTAGGCCTTTCATTACTGTTTTGTCTCTACACATATTTTTTGTTGCTTTTTATGAAACAATCTTATCTAAGTCAAGTCTTATTTATAGCTCCTCCACTAACACCCTCGGCGTACCAAACGTGCAACGAATCCGAAACCCGCCAACAACAGAAAACGTCGCTGATGCAGGCGTCGCCTGTTGTCAGTGTGGACAGACAATCATCGTCTCCCAATATAGCATCGGACGAAAATGAAAGTGCTGAACCTGAACGATCTGCATTGCTCGAATCTATATGCAAATTTAACCGAGGATCCCTCCGAAAAATCCGATCAAATGATTAAAACCCATAACAGGATGTTGGCTCAAAATAATTGTGAACTTATATTAATATCAACTGGACCAAACGCAGCTATTAAATAGCGAATCGGACATTTCAGTTATCACAAATGTTCGATATCACATATAATATATAAAAAAACTCTTGACGACACGCACTTGATTATTTTATTATTACCTGATATTTATTGTTCTACGTATTCTCATAACTCGGCATCGAGCATAAATATTTATAGTCACTAACTAACAATGTGTGGCAGCACTTATAATAGGCTAGCTTATATTCCCACCAAAATGCATAACAACACCTTAAATATGCGCACGTTATCAATGTTTATCTTATATCTGTGTATATATATATACATCAATGTTTATATGTGTATGTACAAATGTGAATGTCTCTAGAGAAAATAAGGCGTCGCCATGCTATTTTCCTTTAGCATTAACAAAAAACTACGTTTAAGACTAAACTAAAAAGCTTTAATAAAAGTTAATCATCATTTCTTTAGAAAATGGCTACAGCAAACTCACCCACTCCATTTTTGTTATACATTTAGTTTAATTTTATTTTTTAATTGCACACTGATTATACAGACATACATACATATATTATTAACAATTTTAATGGAACTGTATACTTATTTACATGTTTACAACATACCCGCAATATATTAATAAATGTACCAAAATAAATGTTATCATCATGTGTTTGTATTTCTTTGGAAATTTATTTTTTTGAAATAAAAATTTAAATGAAATGAGGAAACATTCGAAACATTAACAAGTAAAAAGGGCCGAACTTTAAGTACCCCTACCAAAAATAATACGTATCTGGATTCAGACGAGTACTACTTTAAACTACAAATACCAGTGAGGACCATACCAAAACGAGAATCTATAGAGACAAATTTCTAGAGTAGTCATGTATAGAAGTTTTTGGAACCGTCCATGGCCCTATGGGCTAGGTAACGGTGTTAATTGAATTGAAAAGTAATCACCCTTATTACGTTTGGCGTAGTCGTATCGAAAATTGCAAATTGATGCGTCGTAACGACTAATTGGCATTATTTATTTATTTATTCATTTCATACCATAATACTAAAGCCTCCAAAGCCATGTGTGTCGTATGCGAGAATTACAATTCAATTTACAAGAGGCGTTCTAACGCTGCAAAATTAGTCGTTAGAGATTTTGTTGCCGACAACACACAAAAGTTCCTCCAAATTGATATTACCAAAGAATAAATAGTATAAAAAGTGGATGTGAATAAGAAGTATGTATTAACATTACAAAACTATATATGTATGTATATCTATTAACATTTCGCTTTTTTAGATATAAAGTCACAACAAAAAAAAAAAACAACTTGACGAAATGATCCAGATCTTGCAAATGAATCCAAGTTTGCAATGGCTTAAAAAAAATAACATCAAGGAATAATGGAGCAAAATTGGTGCAAAACACAATATCCTAGGGCCGCCGGGCTCGAACAGGCGAGGCCTGGATGAAAGTATGGTCCGACTACAAATTCAAATCACACCAGAAAATCCAGTATTGTTCAAAAAAAATGCTCTTTAATTTCATATTTCTATTCTTCTGTAGGGGGAAATGAGATCTAATTTGGACACAGCTTATTATGCAATACTTCTATGCACTCGCGGAACACATTGCTGACAGACGACTGTGATAAACTGACATGGTAATCGTTGCCAGCGCTCTTTTGATAACTTCCTTCAGCCAGTATTCGAATTGTTACTGGTTTTAGTATGTTTGGGACACTTGTAGATTTTACACGCCGACGGAGGTCTGGGGTGATTTGAGCCAAAACATATTTGAACACATCCTTACTAAGCCTGAAGTAACTAACAAATTAAAAAAAAAAAAAACTATTAATTTTAGCTTCTACTTACTTGGAATCAGTCATATTCATCCTCAGATAAAAAAAAAAAAATGCCAACACTTAACATAATTCAATATTTAATTTAACAAATATAAATATATATATAAAATAAATAAAAAACAAATACCAGCGGGGACTATACCAAAACGGGATCTATAGAGACAAATTTCTACTACAAGGATCTATTGCGAGTCTTAAATACAAAATTTAAAACAATTTCATGCAAAATCTGGCTAGGGTCACCAAAGAACGAATATAGGCGATTCTGACACCGGTTGTATAACCCATTTCGAACAACAAATACCCAATTTTAGGCAAATCCTATGTAAAGTGTGGCTTAATTTGTCAAAATACCCAATATCCGAAGGTACAGTTATATGGACGCTATATGAAAACGTGGAGCCATATACCTCATTTTCAATACCAACCCTCCTAGACACAATAGAAACTACTTTGCTTAATACGTTATGGGGTCTGCGATGAATTTTTCGAGGTGTGAAGGAGGAATCACAAGCTCTTTATTTGGTGTTAATTGTTAACAGCCTGTATAATGTGAATAAAATGTATGTTTTATTGGCAAAAATATACATTACATTTACATTAAACAATTCCAAAACAAACTCCGAGATATGTGGGAAAATAAGTTTCACAGGTATATGTGTTATATATGAGGGAATATCCTTTTTGAGCTTCTGGAAATATTTCGCTAAAACTATTGCAAAAGGCATTGATTGCATCCTGTCATGGTACAATGACGAAATAGAACAGCTTCGTTAAAGTTCAGCCAATGTCCGCTTCCTCTAAGCATTATTTAAAATTACACGCAACAAGTTGTTTTCATTCATTTGATATTTTTCCTCGCGAAAGATGAATTAAATGCCCGGATTTTCCTTCGAAAACTGTTCAATTCCCTGGCAAAACAGGTTAATATCTTAATGCACTTCTCGCAGTGTGCGTTTCTTCCAATCATTGATTTTGAAAATATTTTGTTTAATTTTCTTCAATGTATTTATAAAACACATAACAATTAAAAAAAGACACACTTCACTGGGTTTTGTGTCATTTTATTGACTGATTTTATTATATTAATTTATCTAAGTCTAGCTTACATTAACAATTACAGAGAGAACCTTGTGCTACGTGGTGCGGTAGTGAAACTCCACAAAGTGTGAGTATACAGAGATCGAAATAAATGGCATTAAAGAAAAGCAGACGATGAGAAACGAAAATTAAGACGCAGAATTGCCAAATACTCTTCGACGCATTTTACTCATTCCGAAGTACCTACGCTCGGTATTTATTGGGGTGAAATGGCAGTTAGTTTGGGTAATCAATAAGTTTATTATTGGCATTGCGTTCGTTTGGCTGAACGTAATCTGACCCCAGAAATCCAGTATCACATTTATCTAGGTTTTTCATTTAAATCAGTATACAGGAGGGGAAAGGTAAGGTGTGCTTCAACCCGTGCGTCTCCATAGAAAAACCGCGCGCCACAGAATTATGGTTCTTATCAATTTGCATTTTAAGAAGTTAAATAAAGCATAATTGTAACAAAACAAATGTAACTTTATCACGCAATATGAACTAAATCAAATTAACTTTATTAGTGTAACGTGTCTATTTACAGAAGACGAGTCGGAATACTCAGATGGCGGCCTTTACTACTATGTTGGCAACAGCAAAGGTGGGTTATTAATAAATCGATACTTTCTTTCAGCCCTATATTCAAACGAATGGAGATTTAACTTGCCAATCAATTGGTTTTTCAGACGTCGGTGCGTTATATGCCCTCATATCGTCTTGAAGCAATGCGACCACTGAATAAGGAAGTATGTGAAAACATCATCAGGACGGTAATGGAAGAAGCGTTATTGAATTTCAACTACACGCCCAAGACCTCTTTGCAATTTTGTGCCCTAGTCAGCGAAGAAATTAAGAGTCGTATTAAGGCCAAGGATTACGATAGGTAAGAGGAATGCAGAGGGCTAGCTAAGGTGGTGAATATCCGGTTTTTCTCACAGACTGCAGCTTTAGCCGAAGTAGTTAGCTTCAGCTTCAGGTGTTAAGTGTTAGTATTGGCAACACAACCCACACAACATTTTCTGTGCCTGCAATGTCTAAAGAACTCATTTCTATCCAAGTAGAATATTAGGAAAGAAAGTTAGATTATTAAAAAAAAAAACTAATTAATGAAGGGGACGGAGTTTAAGGAGCAGCTCGAAGTTAGAAGAAAATCGGTCTCTTGTCATTTTCCAATGTGGGCTTTCAATGTTCATAAGTAACGCTGTTTTCATCTAATTACTGCAAAAGCCTACTATCGCTGCAATGCGCATAAAATAGTGATTACAGCGATAAAATGTTTTCTCGAACGAGTTCGAGATGTTTTATGGCAGTAACTTTCAAATACTACTTTCCGAATAAAGGCGGTGTGATAATGGTCTCTCTGCCTTTCATTTTCGCAACAAATTTCAGGCAGTTTAACTCGTCTCGAAAGAGAAGCAAACGAATAAAATCAGTTTTATTGAAATGTATTTTTTAGCCCATTTCAGAGACAAAAGAAAGCTTATTTGAATTGAATAAGCCGACCGCACGGCTTATTTTCGAATGTCCATAAATACAAACGTTTTGTACTGTTTCAATAAACAAAAGATTACATATGGAGGTCTCAGTTTCTTGTTTGAGTCGCTTTGTCCATGTCCATTCTTGAATATCCGCTCGGAATTCTATTCCCACGGATAGCATTTCTTTTGACAGTTAATTTTTGTAATCGAATAATTTGTGAATATTTGCCATATTATTTGTTTCAGAAATAAAACAAATTTACAATTCAATAAGTGTTGAATATTAAAGGTCTGAAGATAAATACAGAAGTTTGAAACTACTATTCTGAACAGTCAAATTCATCAACGTTACTTTGTCGCTTTTATATAAGAAACAAGAAAAAGGTATTTGAGTTCTACGGACCACTACTACCCTCCACAATTAGGTAAAGAAAACACTTTAATACAAAAGTATCTGGATTTAAACGTGTTCCATCTTAAAGTACAAACTCCAGTATGTAAGATCGGTAGGAGAATGCAGTTTTTGAAAAAAAAAAAAACATATAGTGATTGGAGCTGCTATATGGGGCCCATACGAAAACGGGTGCCATACAAAAATAGGAGCCTATATAGGCAATAATAATCTAGATTAAAATCTATAATAATCTATTGCTAGTTAGGTTAAAACTTTTTGCAGGTTTAATCTACTTTAAGAGGATTTATTTAAAGTATAAGTAATGGATATGAGAAATACCAAATTTCACACAAATCTTTTACAAAATGTGGATTAAATCATCAAAATAACGAATATCCGAAGGTAACGTTATATGTGTGCCATAGGAAAACGTGGACCTAGATATTCAATGTTCTGTTACCGGAGCTAAAACATTAAACATTACGAACTTAGTAATTTTATGCTGATCATGAATATATACACTTTATGGGATCTACGACGAATATTCAGAGGTGCTACAAACGGAATGACATATTTAATATATTTTAATTATATACATATTTTTATTTCTAAGTACAACAAACACATCATTAAATGATCCTTCTTTTAACATCTGTACAGTGTTTTCATTTAGACTCTCAGCAAGGCTTTTTTAACTTTAGATGTTTGATCAAAGGTGCTTTCAGTTCCCCATTGATTCTTGAATCTTTTTTCCAATATATATAGATTATTTGCATTGAATCTTAAACCCAATCTCAATTTCCAAAAGCCAAAAATTACATTTTTCATATCGAATTCATCGCAGTATTCATATTCCAGAGTAGCATCAAATGTAGACTTGCATAGATTTGAACGGAAGTTATATTTGCCATAAGCATCTAATGACCAACACTTATGTGCATATTTGTTTTGGATTTTATAGCAAACTTGGAACTGTATAAGAGCAGCATAAATTAATTGCATATAACCCCAGTGACAAACAATGCCACGTTCCATGTACTAAAATTTGAAAAGAATAATGCATTGCAAATTTTACAATAATAAGTTAAGTTCGTACATGGTGTTATATTTCTAAATTTGTTTCATTTTTCTGTACCAGACTAAGTTGTTGGGTACAAAATGTGGATCGAATACTTAGCTCATGATTGAGTGGACAAATTCTGTGTGTCGAAAAATCATAGTTCATACAATTCGTCCTGCAATTATTTGTACGAAATTGTACTGGATATTGTCAGTAGATATTAAAGGAAAAATTTGTTCAGTAAACTGAAACAGGTGACTTTTTCCAAGCAATTTTCTACCAAATTGATAGCTTTTACTGAAGGTTGCAAAAACTATATTCCTCTGGGTATGCTTTTACTGAATTTGTTTCCCATAGAACACTTCTTGTACAAATCATCATTGCTATACAAAATGTTAATGTTTTCCCATTCAACAAGGAATTCTCAAATAACCATATCAATAATTTTTAGAGTTGTTTATGCGAGATCGTTCTTAGTTCGAATTGCACGGAATTATAAACCATTACCTTGTAATAATGTTTTTAGGATGAAAATTTTCATTCATTTCATTTAGCGTGGATACATTAATACATTTAGTGTGATTACATTATTCTTCTTTGAATAGCCACGTTCTAGACTTTAGTTTGGTGGAACGATCTTCATTATGATTACATTTTAATAGTTTTCTGAGTTATTTTTTTACTTGGACGCAATATTGCCCAATTCCACAACCTGCAGGACCTCGCTAGCTTTCAATTTTCTTCGATATCGTAAAGCAAAAATCGGCTATCGTAGTAAAAATATTTACATTCTTGCAGTTGTGGAACAGAACATATATTTTATAGCTGCATTATATCCTCATGGCTGTGGAGCCAGCACATATTCATAATCACAACTGAATACCATTGTATAAGAAAACATTCTGAATTCAATTTATTTTTGCAGAAACGTTTTAATATTATTGCCATAACAATGTTCACAAGTGCTGATGCATCTACCTGTATTCTTCTGTCATGGGAGCCAACGATGAGAAAAATAATTTAAAGTTTCAAATAGTTTTTGCATTTAAGTATGAGTATTAAATACTCAGGTTTTGCTAGCTATGTAACACGATTCAGTGCTCCCAAAGACATGTATTACACAAATGAATTCAATTAAGTATTGCTGGGGAAATACCCAGACAAATGTATTGTTAAGAAATACAATTATTAAAGTAAGTGAATACATGAACATTGATTTGTCGATGTTTCATGGAAACTAAGAGAAATTGGCATCAACCATAAACCAGCTTGAAAACCAATTGATTAAAACCAACAAAACTTTTGACTCCCACACAAACATTTTCGTTATCAACGATTAAGAGTCGATTAGTTTTGCAATGAAACTGAACATTAAGGATTACATGAGATATATTTTAATTTGTGCTGGCTGATAAGCAGTCTTTTGAATCCTTGATAAATAACATGTATTTCAAAATGCCACTATTTCCAAAGCAAATTTACTACTGTATTACATATACTTCTAGACAAAAGAAATGAACTTCTAATTGGTTTTTGTTGAATTGCTACAATTTTCAAGTTATACAAATCAGATAGTAGTCGGAAGCACTCCCAACATATCGGGATGGCATAATATATAAATATTGAATAAAATAAAACGGATTCGGCGTCGTTAATCCCTTTCTTACATACATCGAATCGATTTAATCCAAAATATACCTTAAGTATTGTCATGTCAATTTGTAATAGAATTGTATGGCAACACACAACTATAATCTATCTATTTATTAATAATAACTTGTAAATAATTTCATTTACCTTCCAGATACCGCTTCATCGTTGTTGTTACCATTGGCGAAAAACTTATGCAGGGTTTCTATTCATATGTAAACTTTTTGTGGGATGCCGACAAGGATGGATACATATCGCACGTAATAGAAACACCAAAATTCTTTGCTGTAGCTACACTTTATTACCTTTATTATGATTGAAATCATTGTCAGTAGTCAGTCATTTATATATACAATAATATCGCAATAAATGCATATGCCATCTTGTCGTTCAGTGTTTGTAAATAAAATGTAACGAAACTTAGGTACGTATTTATATAAATATATATATTTATTGAGTTTTATTGCATAAATTTGAAAGATTGGATCTGGATATACAGGAACAGAAACTTAAAAATACACAGTTGTCGCTACGATTTTATATTCACCGAAATTAATTCAAAATACACGATCTATTTTTACATGCGATTTTGGAAACGGACCCATAACTTAAATCACACATTGAACGCCGCCTCTGTGTTCCTTTCACTGGGGGGATGAGCAAAAGATCACTTGGGAGATGCACAACACTACTTTAAAGGAAGTTACGATAAAAAGATACATTGTACATAATACATGTTTGTTATGCATTTCACTGCCAAGGTTATAAATTCATTTCAAATATTGGCCTGGTTTTTATTGACAATCGAACTCAACTGATCGTCCTCCAAGTTCAATTAGCGAGCAACCACCATAGATTCAATTTGTTTTCATTATTAGTTATTGCGCAAGCGACACTTTTTCCATTCTAGGTGGACATTCCTCGTAGAAAACAATGTAGCATTTGTAAAACCCTTTTCAATCACATATAATTTTTAAACAAATACTACAATTAGTTTTCTAAGGATTTGCTGGCGAATAATTGGGACAGCAGCATTGGCATTTTTCTTAAGAAGGGGCTAACTTCAGTGAACACAATCTAACACTGCGTCACTTCTTTTGAAATGACTTTAGTTCGAGGAACGTATGCAGAAAACATTATTGGAATAGAAGTCACAAACACTCTGACGAGAGAACCCCGTTTGAACACAAAAAACACTTGAGAAGGAACTGATCAACACCAGTAACAGCGAAAAGATTTTTAATGTATCTTGGTATTTTGTTTCTTCCTTCGCAGACCACTACTCATCAACTGTTGAAACAAACATTACTTTCACTTCACTTAGACTCATCCAAGGTGGACATAAATATGATTCCATCAAAAAATTGTATTCACCACAGGTATCTATTAACGACATGTGTCTAAGAAGAATGGAACAACACACCACACATTTGTATTCAAATTCAATAAAGAAATTATCCATATCATCAAAATTGGATGGCTCCATAGAGCTCCATAGATTATATGTGGTTTTGGAACTTCACCATACTATAACAAGCACATACGATTCATAACACCCTTTTAAACTATATCTAATGCATATCCGAAAAACGAACTCACTTTGGAAAGTCAAATCTATATCTTTGATGTTTAGTGTAACACTGCCACTGATGTTATAGAGTTTATTAGATGGGCCTCGGCTGAAACAGCCCACTAGAATCGAAGTCACACAAGAAAACATCACTACAGCCATTATGATGATCCACAATATTGCCAACACTACTCGTAAAATATATGTATACATTTATCGTAAACTAAAACTGCTGATTTTGATTTGCAAACTAATTGAAAAAATAAACAATTTTAAATTCACATTTCATTTCGCAGAGCATCATGATCGCAAATTTAACTTTCCTTCGGGATATATTCACACTTTCACATTTTTGATGATATTTCCATATATAACTTTGGAAGCTAAATCTATGTATAAGTTTTGTATTCATAGTTGGCACAGTTCAACGACAGGTAGCAACACGACTGTGGAGCAAAATAGATATACCAATTAAAAATGTGCATATTCGGGTGCAACATATATGGATGTCTTTGCCATGGAAAGCAAAGATTAGCATTTGTGAATTTATATATTATACAATGGAGCTTGATTATCGGGATGGTAGGAGGAGGGGTTTTAGTATGTATGTATGGATGTAGTTTTATGTGTATGGACACGTTATTCTTATTCGGAATTTTGGTATTATTTAATTAATTTGTCAAGAATGTGAAGGGGGATGATCAACGTTTTACTTGTCAATCAAAATAATTATTCATGTGAAATCAATGAATTGATGTAGGACATTTTTTCCTTCTTTTAAGCAGTTCCACCTCTCACCACTACTACCACGAGGTGGTCCTCCTTAAATGACTCTTCACTGACAGACGAGCAAGTTCTCTTCAATAATTCCGCTGAAAAGTCACAAGGTGGAAACGCATACAACACGCCAGTGGCTTCCGTCTCTTTGTTTAGCAATGATATAACACCAGCAGCTTCTTTCTGCTTGAGATATGAAACCAAGTTCCGCAAAGGTCTGGTTTGCACTGAACTATCTTCGGAAGCAATCGTTGTGGATGTAGAGCCAGCCAAGCCTAAGAATATGGCATGGGAGGACGACGAGGTAATGCGTTTCTGCACATCTTCCAATTTTGGCGGATCGAGACGTAGCCGTTGGGTGATTCGCAAATTATGCTTTCCTTCTTCATCACGCATTAGCGAGTCTACAATATCGGCATCACCATCGGTAAGATGAAATTTGGCTGGAAACAAGGAACTCTTTAGGATAAGGGCACCTTGCCAAACAACCGTGCATTTTCGAGCCACATCGGAAAGAGCGCGAGCCGATGCTAAAGATGTCGAGCCATTACGACGCTGCGATGAATCTGAGTCAGAACCAGGAGAATGTGTTCGCTTATGTGGAGAACGTGAACGCGAACGATCAGCTCGGATTTCGCGGGAAGCGGACCGACCTCTTTCGAATCCAGGCTCACCAGGTGGGCGACGCCATTCATCTTCAATACCAGCTGGTGGTGGAATGGCCGACGTTGATGTTGGAGCTAAAGTGCTGGGATGTATTGGGCGATGAACATCATTGGGATAATGATAAGATCCCCGGCCGCGTCCGCGATAACCTCCACGCCCACGATATGATCCACGGGGAGGATACGGCGAATACCCCCCACGAGGAGCATAGTGATGATGATGATGATGTGGCTCTTCATAATGATAATCGTATTCTGGACGTCTGTATTCTGCAGCTGATATGGCAGCTTCGTCATATTTTGGCTTAAAAGGAGCAGCTGTGGGCGTCACGCCTGGGAGCTCCGAGAAATCGGTTCTAAGCCTTCTTTCGGGACCACCTAAGGGAAATCCGCGCATTTCCTTAACTGCAGCTGTTGCTGCTTCCACGGTTTCGTATTGAATATAAGCACAAGTATCGCCTTTTTGGTACTCGATTTTTTTAATGGCTCCGAAACGATCAAATTCCCTCTCCAGTTGTGTTACAGATGTCCAGGCGCCCAAACCACCGACCCATATACGAGTGGCTGGAGTAACTTTGCCATAGCCTATCTTGCATTGAAACTTTCCAATGTATTGTCCAGACAATTCGCACTTGGCCCTGTGCGCCATATCTAAATTTTGGTACCGCACAAAAGCAAAGGCATTTCCTGTACCAGGTGGCGGTCTTTTGATATCAATATCGTCCACAATACCATATTTTCCAAAAATACGGCGTAATTCTTCATCTGAAATAGATACTTCTAGGTTTCCAGCAAAAAGCGTGCGAGTAGCAAGAGGGTCATCTTCGGGTTGAACATGATGTAAATAATTGGGAAATTTATCTTTTTTGTTTTCAGGCTTTTCATATGGTACATGAGGTCTTGGGCCAAGGTGGCGAGGTGGACCACCATAATGTGGTGGAGGCCCATGAATATGCGGGGGACCGCGATGTATTGGAGGCCCACGAGGTGGCATTGGGTATTCATGATGGATCGGGCGGTATTCTCTGGAATGAGGATGTGAAGAAATATGCGGTGGTCCATACCGATCATAAGGGTCCAATGGTGGTCGGCGGTGTTCCGGTGGTCCAGGGGGAGGCACTGGCACTCGTGAGTAATGGTAGCGGTCATATTCCGGTGGCGTCAGTGAACGTCCTCGCGACCTGCAAATAAATTACTTGTGTATAATAAACTCTTGATGCACAATAATCTCGACTAACATAAACATAAAGGTCATAATTTAATAAAATCAAAGGTATTTATTTTTGCATCGTGCTTGGAAACAATAATTATGATTTTGATAATAGTAACTATATCATATATAATGGGTATAAAGTTAACATTTTTCTTACCTGTGTTCACCGCGACCTGAAGACTCATATACTGGCTCTACCAAGGCCACTTTATCATAGAGAACAATTCTTGGCTTATGATGTTTCGCTTCCCTAGCATCTTCAGCTGTACGGAAGCAAACGTACGCTACCCTTTCATCCAAGTCATGGGAAATACGAATGCTAAAATCGCCAAACTTTTTGTATTCACGATACAAAGTTTCTTTAATGAATTCATCAGATGCTTTCGAGTGCAAGGCCGACACACAAAGAACTTTATAAGATGGCCTGTCAGAAGTTGGCATGGGGGCGCCACGAATATACTCTTCCCGGTGAGGAGACCCGCCAGTATAACGGGCACGAGGGCTGGGGGAGCGTCCAACACGGCGTCTTAAACGGTCTGGAGACATGCGCTCCGGCGAGTCCCCGGCCATGCCTCCGTTATCATATGCACCGCGTCCCATAGCTGTAGAACGAGAGCGTGAAGAATGACTTGTTCTGGATGGTGAATCTCGTGAAGCGCTACGTTTCATAATATGTACCTTAGCAGTTGAGTTGAGCAGCTTCACGAATGATGTTCATGAGCAACTATACAAACCCCTTTAATATTACCTAAAACAACACCCACAAATAGAGGCAAACAGGGAATTACATAGCAGAATAAATCTATTTAAGAAACCTCAACGTTTTCATTTTTATGTAAAGATGTAAATTCATTAACCAAAATGGCGATCAGTCAATCCTACATACATACAAAAAAACGCCGCCACTCAAATGAGCAACAATATTTGCTTAGTAAAAGTAAAAAAAAAACCATACCTTCCCGATAATATCACAATCCTCAATACTGCCGTGGAATGAAATAAATTACAATTAAACACGTTCTAGTCTGTATCTATTATATTTGCAACTGAAAATATATGCGCGACTCTTATTATACAGAAAATTGAAATCACCCCGAATGATGACCGAAATAGAGATGCCAAACAATCGATATTATCGATGCCATATAAAAGTTATCCATCGATTTATTGCCTTTTTCAACGATATATCGAACGTTATGCCTAGTTATTATACCTAGTTCTCATTGGAATTTAAAGTACGTGGTTCGTACGTGGAAAACGACGGCAAGATTTTAATGCGGCTCTGTAATCCCTTTATGAAATGTAACAAAATATGCCTACCCATGACTTCTTATGTGCTTACACCTTTATTTGGTACAATGAAGACAAGCAGTTTAAAATTATATAAAATGTCTGTCAGCTGATCTGCGTTTACGTAAACCTATACGCTTTTCCATTTTCTAACGAATTTTCAAAAATATTTATTTATGATTCAAATAACTCATTTTTTATCCGATGTTGGTATCGGTAGGAAAATAAAGAACTTCTTATCGCAATTTCAATCACGTTGTTCGCTTTCTGAATTAGGTACACGAATTCATAGAATTACGGCACGATTCGTAGTTCCATGGTAAAACCATGGTAAATAAAAAGGTAAGGTAGAGCTCCCAGCTGATTACAATTTTTTTCTAAGTGTGCCCGATTTCTGCAAATTTTGTGTATGTATTTGTTGTTTTGAAAAATAAAAACAAAATATTTTCAAAATCAATGATTGGAAGAAACTTAAATTGCGGGCGCGCATTACTAATATTAACGAGATTTACCATGGAATTGAAAGATTGAACACTTAGGATCAAATTTTTTTTAGAGAACATCCAGGCATTTCATTCATCATTCGTGTTATTCGACTCATTTTAGAAATGAACAAAAAATACCAAATAAATGAAAACAACTTGTCGCCTATAATTTTGAATAATTCTGACAGGCATAGCCTCAGGGCTGTATTTCTGTAGTTTTACGAAGCTGTTCAACCTCCTTATTGTACCATGGGTAAAACCATGGTAGAATTACGTAGTTCATAGCAACATAATTTCTTTTTTCAAAAAATTTGTTTGTGGTTTTTAATATAAATTTGTGCGAAATCATATGAAATACGCATTAATATGAATAGACGAGATTATTGATTTTTCTCCAAAGATTTATTGTATTATTAATATTAAAATTTACATTCATATTTAAGGTGAGAGTACATAAAACGCTCTTTTGGTTGGCTTAAGCTGCAAGAATTTAAAAGTTTATACTACGATATCGATGTATGCCTTTATGATATCAAAAATGCAAAACTAGTAAATTCTTTGTTTACATTTTTGGACATATAACTCTGACACTTGTATTACATACAAAACAGATTTGTGTGTGGTTGTTGTTACGTATGTACAAATACCACTTGCTGTTACCTGTATAATTGTACCGTGCATGTTCTGGAACGGACCAAATATTTACACATAAAAGTTGTGTTCCAGTACTTTGTTAGTAGTAAAACTAGCAGAAGAGAGAACAGTTCGAAATGTTCTTCTCATTTAGGTTTGCTCAAAAAATAAGGGAACGGAAAATTAGCAGAAATGCGATAAAATGTCAAAATTCAAAATTCCAAAAGTAAACAGTCTAAATCGGACTGGTGAAACCTTATTGAAAAGAGCGCCAACATTTAAAAAATGAGTATTGAAGACGATAAGTTAAACTTAATAATATATCCTTTTTTCCTTTAAGCTGGAAATACATAAAGCGCTTATCTGGCTGGCTTAAGTCATCGGCTGGCTTCTTCGGAAATGAACAGAGGAGCCTAGGGCCAAAATCGAACTAAGTCAACTTAAACCTCCTTTGTTCATCTACGAAGAAGCCAGCCGATGACTTAAGCCAGCCAAATATGCTCTTTATGTATTTCCAGCCTTAGTTTTCAATTTGATCATTTTCTTTATTGAAATGTATCAATACATTTTTCAACCTTGTTAGCCCTGCCAATTAAATGTCAAATTTACAATATGCACATTTCTACTCGGCCAAATTCATGTAGCTAAAACAAGCAGAAATGTGCACCACTCAGCGCCATTTTTTTCTCGAGAGAGCTGCAAGTTTTGCTAGTTTTTGGAGTACGGGAACGCGTTGTAGCAGAATTAGTGCTAATTAGTACTAATTTGCAGGTTCTGGAACACAACTAAAATGATACAGTGAGCCGCACAATTGATTATGAAAAGTCGATTTATCGGGTTTGACCAAAGTCGTCTTTTTCGAGTAATCGAAAGTCGAGTAACCTATCCCTATTTTCATATACAATAAATATATACATTACCACTGAGATCGTTGAAATCGGCATTTGAACAGATATTGAGCACGAAAAAAAGTTATTCTAAATATCAACGGAAGAGTTATTAATTCTATTCTATAAATACCCTGCATGATAGAAGAGCAAACCACCAGTAAGAAAATAATATGCTACTTTGTTGCTATGTTGTCGCATATATATCGTGTATCAATTTAGGACAATTTGCAAGAATTTCATCAGTAAACATTGCTTTCAATCAGAGATATGATTACTCTTCGATAAGGAAATGGAAGCTAGTATTCCTGCGCTACACTGTCCAATGCATTTTTGTTTGCTAGACTGAACTATGGAGAATCATAGCTTGAATGTGTGGAGCTGTTATGGCATGACAAGTCGAAACATATGTAAATAGCCTTTGGCGACAACTACTATTTTTGTCTGGCTTAGAGAAGATTGGATCAATCGATATGTCAATAGAATTATGGGTTGTCTGGTTAACACTGGAGATTCCGATATATTTAATTTTCAATGCAGTTCAGGTATATGGGGAATATTTGAAACAACTCTGGTTTAGTAAAAACTCTCGGATTTTGTTTTTTAAAATGTCTTCCAGAAGTAGGTGTTTACACCCTTATTCCGGGAAAACATTTTTTCTTGGGAGACGGACACGGATATTTGACCCAAAATTCCTAGTCCAAGACCCGGGCGTACTAAGCAGATATGGACAATATAGGTATAATTAGAAAGCTAATGAAAATAACTATCCAAAAGGATGGGGCTATTTAAAACGGTTCCGGAATTGTGTAAAAATTGTTGATTTTTTGGACCCGCATTTTTTTAAACCCCCAAAAGTCAAAGAAGGGCCCATTTTGGGAGTTCACAAAATCGGCTTGTCTGGGTTCAAAGACCCATAACTCTGGATCCAAGAAAGGTAATAACACATGTTGTAGAATTTGGGAAGTTTATAGTGTCAACTACAATTTGGCATAAATGTTGTGGACTCCCAAATGGGGCCTCTTAGACTTTTGGGATTTTTTTTTAAACAATTTCGGAATCAGAGAAAAGACCGAGAGAGAGAGAGAGACTAAACTAGAGCTATGTTGGAAGCTTTGAAATGTAAAGATTTTTTAGAATAGAAGTAGTTTCAATCCCAAAATACTCTCCCGACTATGGTTATGGTTCTTTAAAATATTAAATTCTTCGAAATGTAGCCCTTTCAAAAATTCCAAACATTCGCATTTTTCAACATACATAAAAACAAGAAAAGTACATGTTTTCAACTGTTGTGGTGAAAAACGTCGAAGGAATGCCACAATGAAATGTCTCACAACTTTAAATTTTAAATATTGTAGGTGAGTGCGGTTTCAGTTTGCGCTGTAGCTTCATGTAACGGCACTACCCACTTTTCTGATTTTTTAAGACGTAAACCAGATTCCAACATTTTATCTATTTCATACAGTTCAATATAAAATAATCCAATATGGCCGAAATCTTTTGAATCTGTTTAAATAATAGTACTATCACCCTCGGACTCAGCCGCTCTAACAAGCTGAGCAACAGTTAAGCAAGCCAAAGGGCTCGTTTTCAACATAACGAAAGTAACAACTGCAAGCAAATAAAAAGAATCAAAAAATGTAAAATGGAATAAAATCAACAATGAATGAAACAAAGTCGTCCAGACCGAACTTTGCGCATTTAAAATTTTTTTTTTTTACATCATTAAAATTTATTTAGTAACAAATAATAGCGTACGTATAACTAGTATAACAATGCGTAATACCATTCAATCCTCAATAGGCAGAGAATAATGGATCATATAGAAACCAAACACAGTCCATATGACATGGACACAACAGCCTTTGATTCTGAGGTTTATTTGGAAAAGCTTCTGAAGGTATGTTAGCTTTTCTTATATCATATCAGACAGTGTAGTAAATTATTTTTCATTTATAGGATTATTCACTGAAACAGATAATGGACACCGAAGCAGCAGTTGTAAAGGATACCCAAACTCTACACTCCGATATGCAAACGTTGGTGTATGAAAATTACAATAAATTCATTTCGGCAACTGACACCATCCGCAAAATGAAGAATGACTTCAAACAAATGGAATCTGACATGAACTTATTGAAGGAAAAAATGGGAACGATCACCAACTTCAGTGAGCAGATAACGGGAACACTTCAAGGTACCAGGTCGCAGCTATGCAAACTTTCAGAGAAACATTCATTGCTAAAACGTTTGCAGTTTCTATCATCTCTGCCCGCAAAGTTAAAGGAGCACATAGAGGAGCAAAATTATGTTCAATGTGTTCAAGATTATGTGCATGCTAAAAAAGTATTTGAGCAATATGGACAACAACCCTCATTTGATGGTATTCGAAAAGACTGCGACATTATTATGGCAGATTTGAAGCAAAAACTAAGAGCTGAATTTCATATGTCGGGAAAGACGGCGGAAACATTAACAAAAATGGGGGACTTGCTGCTACAACTTGATGAGAAGCCGTCAGATATGGCGGCAGAAATGTTAGTTTGTGCTTCAAAGCGACTACATGAACAGATTGTTATGCTCCAGGACCAAACCGAACGTGATATGATCGAATTCGTCGACTTGGGCATCGATGGCTTCCTCAGAGATCTAACATTAGTAGTTACTGCGTACTACGACATGTTTGTGGCGAAACATTACGACGGCGAAAGAGACGACTTTCAGGAGGTAGCTTTGAAAGAACTGAACTCCTTTTTAAACGAAAACATAGATAAATATATGACGCTTGTCCAGGACCGTGTTGAGTCAGACATTGGTCTAGGCGACACACACATTATGCTGCGAGCATTGGATCGCTTACATAGGCGCTTATTAGCTATGCGCAACATCTGCTGTGGCTTGGAAATTCAGCGAAACACTGTTGATATTATTATTTCGGCGGCCCACCAACTTATGCAGACCCATTCCAAAGCCTTGAAGGATCATTTCGCCGATAGTTTGAGTTCGGTTCGGCTATCTTTAGTTTCCACGAAGAGCGATGCTGTAGTGTCTGGTGTGCATCTCAATGATCTCATTACTAACCTTTACGTAACGCTAATGGAAAAAGTGCGCGGCGTGTTACAGGATTTGTTAATTTTCCTTCAAACTGATTGGTCCTTCAATATTAAATGCGACTACAAAGGTGCTCTTTGTGTTGAAGGTATACGAGAAACTCTCTTAATTGGCTTTTTGCACCACATTTCAAAAGTTATGAATAGTTTTGGTGACTTGTCCACATCGAGTCTCCCAAATTTGTTGTTGGTGTTATCTAAGACATGTCTAGAAATGGAACAGAATGGCATTCATGTACTAGTAAGTGGAAAATTGTTTGATTGCATAGACTGGCATTTTGATATACTATATTTAACTTCAAGATTAGCTTAGTTGATGACTTATACGAAATCGATTCTGAGAATAGCACAACTCTTACCCACGAAACCGAAATATGCGCTGAAATGCGAGAAACAGCACAAAATCTTCTTGACACATATGTCCGCTTACAAGGGTCTAATATTTCGCAGATGCTCCGCAAAAGCGTGGAGACTCGCGATTGGCTCAATTGCCTTGAGCCGAGAACTGTGCGTGCTGTAATGAAAAGAGTTGTGGAGGAGATGTCATCTATAGAGACCGTTGTTGCCAGTTTGTATGAACAACAGCCACATCAGAATGAACGGACAACTGCTAGCAGTGACTCCAGCCGTAAGACCCATTTCAGCAATTTGACTGGCTCCAAACAACAGTTTCGTTCTAATTGGTCCAATTATACTCCATCACAACTGGAATCTTCCTATGTCTCCAATATACATAGATTGTTTTCAGAAAGGGTAGATATTTTCACGTCAGTGGACTTCTCTAAGGTGTCAATAGTAACAGGCATAATTAAAATTGGTTTGAAGGTATGTTATTAAAAAAGTGATACAACAGCGTGCTACATAATATGTTGTGTTCTAGACATTACTGGAATGTGTTCGTGTTCGCACTTTTAGTAAATTTGGTTTGCAGCAGATTCAGGTGGACACTCATTATCTACAAATGAATCTATGGCGTTTTGTGAAGGACGAAAAGTGAGTTAGTTTCTGCACTGTCAACACTTGCAGCCTTCTCTATAGTGAATATTTGCTACGTTCTTTTAACTATTTACAGCCTTATTAACTATTTATTGGATGAAATTTTGGGTTCAGCAGTTCATAGATGCTTAGAATCGACATTGATGGAACCAAACGCGGTGGAAATAATTTGCGAAAGGGGTTAGTAGTGCTTGTAAGTTTTCAAGTTTTACATCCTCATTTTATATTTTTATATAATCTATGCACCAGCCTAAGGACAAGTGTATTCTAAAATATTTGGATTTACTTATGACAAATAAAGAAAAAAAAAACCGTATTGACACTATTATGACGCATAGCCTTAGTTAATTTTAATTTACGGTACAATGAAGACAAGATAGGCTAAGTTGGAAAAATTTACAAATAAAGAGGCCTACTGTATGGATAGTAATGTCAGAATTACTATCAAAGCAAATGCAACATTTCTTTTTATTTTCAAATAAACAAAAGAACTTGTTGCATTGATTTTGAATAAATAACCAAAAAAAAAAAAGCAAAAATTGAATGAGAGATCACAATTTATTTTAAAATCATGTTTTATATTTTACTAAAGATTTATTTCCCAACAAAAAGTATAAATTTCGTCCATACATACATTGTAATACGCATTTTGAATGTTTTCTGAACGATTTTTCATATAATAATACAATATATAATCAAATTAATTTGGCATCATTGTACCATGGTGTAATCATTACAAGTGCTGACGTTTTGTTGAAAGTAGTCAATAACATTCAAAACAAAAAAAATCTAACTTGAAAAACTAAACAAAAAAAAAAAACGATTTCTTCTGAATAAAAAAAAAAAATATTTCTTATTAATATTAAAGGAATTTGTTAAAATTATGCACATATATGTCTTTCGTCTGAAGACAGGTAAAGTTATATATAGGGTTATATCGGTCCGCGATATGCGATATGTTGATATGCGGGATATGCGATCCCCATAAAACGGTACCCCCATTATTCGTATTTTGATGATTTTAGCCATATTTTTCAATGGAATTGTCTGAAATTCTGCCAAGGAGTTTCTTGTGAGTACTTTATCCCCTGGAAGAGAATTTTCTATATAGGTCCACGATATCGTACAGCCCCCATATAACGGTACCTCCCAATATTCGGTATTATTCGGTATTACTTATGCAGGACCACGTCTTTGTATAGCCCCCATATAACGTACTTATGTGTACTAAATGTTACTGAACTTCTAAAATGGCACCATTTGAATTACGCTAAAAAATTGAACATTTTTATGAGAATTAAGGTTCGAAAATAAGTTTGAGGGAACTATACTAAGTGGTACTAGATTTGGAACAGTTTGGTTTACTGTGAACGGTTTAAGCTGAAATTTTGTATTGGGGTCCCTTTTGGTAGTAGGTTCGTAATAAAGAGGTGGTTTTAGAAATTTATGTGTTTGATAAAATTTGGCTTTGGGTGAACATATAGTGCTTGAAACCTGAAATATGTTCATGTGTAGCCTGGACAATGGAAGTAATTCTGGAAATGTGTACTTTAATTGTACGAAAAATACATTTGGGATTTGGTGAATGGATAGAGATAAAACTCTGAAGTTTGATGTTCAGGTTACTGATGGTGTTTGTGTTTGAGATTTGGAGGTGGCTTGGAAAATACTAAATAGTACATTTGGGATTTGGTGAATGGATAGAGATAAAACTCTGAAGTTTGATGTTTAGGTTACTGATGATGTTTGTGTTTGAGATTTGGAGGTGGCTTGGAAAATACTAAATAGTACTAAATGGAACTGGACTGGAATCTCGAAATTTGATATTGAGGTATGTGTTGGAATCAGGAATTGAGATATGATCGTTGTTTTTGAAATGTGCACTATAATTTCAGAGTTATATGTCCAAAATGCAAACAAAACAATTAAATTGCAATAAATTATTTTTAATTCAAAAATATACATTTTTCGAATTTGGATTATTAAATTTACAGCGCAGAAGAATAGTTCTTAAAATATTTAATTTCAATGCTTTCACATCATTCCCCTGAATGTATAGTTGTTTGTCCTAATCTCTCAACACTTCAAGCAATCGCTAGAAAATCGTGGAAAAGGCAACATTCCTTTTAAGTTGAAACCAAACAGCATACATACATAAAGTACTCTACTCGAATATATTATCCAATTTGGTGTCGCTGTTCCTAAACAGCAAAAAAAGCTTCCGAACCATCGCCTTTGGCGTTTTGTTAAGTATAACGGCGATTTTTTTCTATTATTAGGCTAAAAATATGTTCACATTGCTCTGCAGTGAAATTTTATATAAAAAAGGGTACACAAGAAATGGAATTAAATCACAAAACGTCATATCAAGTTTGACTCTAGTATTACTACAGTGTCAAATCAGCTGGGACTTGCTGCTACCTTTAATAATTATACCATGAACTATAACCTGGAATCACAACACTACAAGGATAAAGAAAAATGGAAAGTAACAAGGAACTCGAAATTTGGCGCTTTGTTAAGTATAACGGCGATTTTTTCTATTATTAGGCTAAAAATATGTTCACTTTGCTCTGCAGTGAAATTTTATATAAAAAAAGGGTACACAAGAAATGGAATTAAATCACAAAACGTCATATCAAGTTTGACACCAGTATTACTACAGAGTCAAATCAGCTGGGACTTGCTGCTACCTTCAATAATTATACCATTTGCTATAACCTGGAATCACAACACTACAAGAATAAAGAAAAATGGAAAGTAACAAGGAACTCGAAATAATTATCGATAACTAATAATCGACTACACAACAATGGTATCGTACCTACCGATTCCAAAGAAGAAGAAGAAGCTATTCTAAAAACAACTAATCCAATTATTTTTTCTCCTATAAACACCTAAGATAGGGCAATTAAACGAAAATTAAAGAGCAATACATCTAGCAGCAGATACAATGCATTTGAATGCTGATATATCCAGCGCTCTACAGCAAATTGAGGCTGTAAAACGGGTGATTGATGAAAGTGATGACCCAAAATTACAGAACCAAACTGCTGAAAGTCTCAAAACTATTCTTGATATTTTACAAGATCCAGTATTTGTTTCTATTGTGCATGTCCAGGATTCTCTGTCTGAATTGAATGCTCAACTGTCGCAACATCCGTCGATGCTTCCAAATGACTTTGATATTGATATGGCAGGAAACTTGGTTCTTAGTGTCAATAATGGAGGTGATGTTTTGTACGAATTTGATGAGCGAGTTTCTACTTCATTAAACAGCGCCTCCGTCCCAAATAGCCCTGGTAGTAGCAAGGCAACGGAAGTCGCTGACAACACTATGCTGGAGCAACAACATTCCAAAATGCCCTCCTTGTCGGGGGTGGAACTATTCCCTACGGATTATGTACAAATACAAGCCATTGAGCTAGTCAATGATGGTACTGGACTAGGTTTCGGAATTATAGGAGCACGTAACTCTGGCGTCATAGTTAAGACAATTTTACCAGGTGGAGTTGCGGATAGAGACGGCCGATTAAGATCGGGTGACCATATTTTGCAAATTGGTGATGTTAATTTGCAGGAGATGGTATCGGAGCAAGTCGCAGCTGTGTTGCGGCAATCAGGAACACATGTACGTTTAGTTGTTGGTCGTGCAATTGAACAGCCATCTCCAGTTGGGTTTAATTTGGAAGCGGGTAGTGCAATTGTTCCGGCTAGAGTTTTAGTTGATCGTGCTGAACTTGAGCGGTACTTGATATCAACTGGCTTTCCTGAAATTTTTGGGGAAAGTTCAAATGCTTCCACCCCTCAGACAACGACGGAAGATGACCGATTTGTGTATAGGGGATCCAAGCCCATTATAGACCTCTTAGAATTGCCCGAAACTGAAAAATTGCAAGTTGAACTTACTAAGGATGCTAATGGTTTAGGTATAACCATTGCGGGATATGTGTGTGAGAAGGAAGAGTTATCTGGAATATTTGTAAAGAGCGTATCACCAGGTTCAGCAGCCGACTTAAATGGTCGTATAAGAGTCAACGATCGCATTATAGAGGTAGATGGACAATCGTTACAGGGGTTTACCAATCACCAGGCTGTCGAGCTTCTTAAGCAGTCAGGGACAGTGGTCAATCTAAGATTGGAGCGCTATTTAAGAGGACCTAAATACGAACAACTTCAACAAGCAATTGCCGCCAATGATAAGCTTCCGTCCAGTATGCCATCTACTCCTTCACGTCCCTCGACAGCAAGAGATACGTTTGCCACCAGTGGCGTAAATGTTTTTTCCACGGAACCTGAAGCTTTTAATGTACCAGCTTCCAATATGCATAATCTATGTAATGTCACAAACGGTCAATTTACAAACATGTCTACCTTTGGAGTTGATAGAAAACCCATGCTTATTCCCAAAATGCACGAAGAGACGTCAAAAACAATTATATCTTCTGATGTGGTTGAAAGCAATGAACGTGATCAAATTGGGTTTGAAGTGAGTATACATATTGCTAATATTTTCTTGCTTGATTTAATAAATGTGTTTCCCATTAGGAACCACTCCATGCTAAAAATAGTGTGCTACTTACGCGACAAAAATATTATACTGAACCTGAACTCAGTGCTGAGGTGGAACAAGAAATTATTCGCAAATGGAAGAAAATTGTTGGAAATGATGTTGACGTAGTGGTGGCTCAAATTAAGAAATTTCCGGTTGGTGGTCTTGGAATATCGCTAGAGGGCACTGTAGACGTCGAAGGTGGTCGGGAGGTTCGACCACATCACTACATCCGGTCTATACTAGCTGATGGCCCTGTTGGACTCAATGGTAAACTTCGTGCTGGTGATGAATTATTAGAGGTAAATGGTGAGCGATTATTCGGTATGAACCATTTGGAGGTAGTGGCTATTCTAAAGGAGCTTCCCATTGATGTTCGTATGGTTTGCGGTCGTAGCAAGACAGAATTAATGTCTTTTTCTGATGACACCTTAAAGAAGTTGGAAAGTAATTTAGAAAAACTTGTTCCGGCCTCTGATAGACTAGTAAAAGCAAAATCAGATGGCAATCTAGCCACTTCATCACCAACCACAGAAGAATCGTTCAAGTTCAAATCGCGCTCTTTGGAGCCTTTGACTGGTTTGGCAATGTGGTCAGAAGAGCCCCAAATAATAGAACTCATAAAAGGAGACCGGGGTTTAGGTTTCTCCATACTTGATTACCAAGACCCAATGGATTCTAACGATTGCTTGATTGTCATTCGTTCACTCGTTCCAGGAGGAGTAGCCCAGATGGATGGCCGTCTTATACCAGGTGATCGTCTGTTATTTGTAAACAATATAAATTTGGAAAATGCTACTCTTGACCAGGCTGTCCAAGCTTTGAAAGGGGCCCCTAAGGGCATTGTTCGCATTGGGGTGGCTAAACCACTCCCCATGACAGATACATCTTTAAAGTCAAACGGAAACAATTCCATCGTATCAAATAACGCAGATGTTGAGATGAATGTTCAAAAGTGTGATTTTCAGAGCCTAACCAGTCCCCCTGAAGAAATTAATTCCCCCGAACCAGATTTGATTTCAAATTGGCGAAAGTAATCAAAATCATTTTTTAAATATCTCCTTTAACAATAAAGTGCGTATATATACATAAAAGCAGAATAAATTACATAAATGTTGTTGGTATATGTACATTTTATTTGTTTATTTTCGACAGATTATGCTGACATAAATGTCTAAACATTATTTTTTTATGGAATACAATAAATAAGACTAATTTATGGTTGCATTAATTATAGAAGTCAACATGAACCTTATTTTAAGATCTAGGACTGAATTTGTGTATCCTCCAATGCTGTATAAAATACCTAACATCCATCATCTTAAGTTCGATTGAGTTGTCGCTCCAGTTTTTGATGGGTACGTCTTGATAAAATTCGATGACGAGCAAATGACAGAAAGTACGTGAAAAGGCCAAAGACGAAGCAACAAACTTCAAAATGCACAAAGTTCTTCTGGTCAATGGCTACAATCCTATCGCAGCTCTTAATGACGATTTCTCCACTGTCATTACAGCGTAGGACTTCTTTATATTTCGTATGAACACATACTCCCAAACTTCGACTCACCAAGTCGAACTCGGAACATTTGTGACATTCCTGTATTACTGAGTATTTTTCTCGTAACCAACATGTCGAATTATTTTCAATAACAAATTGAGGTTTTCGAGCGGGACCACTTATATCTAAGCGCGATTCTATTATAAGAACACATACAGTCAGGGCCACAAGCAGTGTTAATCCCAATAGCATGTGTTTCTTCTGACAAATTTCCAACATGATCAGATATATTTTCAATCTTTAATGATTGCTGTGTGAAATGAAAATATTAGATTTTTGTACGATAATGTCGATAAAAAATGTCAATCGATACCCCTCTTACATCGATACTATCGAATCGATTTTGCCATCGATTGTTTGCTCCTCTATCTCCAGTACTCATAATTTCCATAATGTGATAAATCCAAAGATAATCAAATTTGTTTACCAACCAAAGAAACGATGGAATGCAACGACAGTCGGGAAGATGTTGATATGAATTCTTACATATTTTATAACGGCGTGAGAGTTTCCATTGAATGGGACAAAAGAAATGTACCTCCCTCAATGCAATCTTCTTGCAGAGTGATACAGCGTATATGTTCCATAACATCAACTTATTTTTTATTGACTGTGAACAATTCCCTATATGAGGCCGTATTAAATCCAAGTAAATTAATTCTCCGTCTGACGTTTATTCGAGGATCCGTGCATGATGTCCAGTTCTGTAGAGATTTCGGTGTGTTGTATATAGTGGAGGATAATGGCACGGTTCTAGCGCAGTCATTACAGAATAACGAAATTTTGGCCGAAAACTGGCGGTTGCTTACGTTCGACCCTCTTGAATTATCGGAAGAGGGTGTGCATATTAAACAAGTATGTTGCTCTTCGGATGGTGTCATTTTCGTTTCGGAATCTTCAGATATATATTGTATTGGCAACTATGTAAATAGCACTCTATCAGCGGATTACTACCAGCCAAAATTAGTACGACTCTTCTCAAATCCGATAGATATTTTAGACGTAAAGGGCGGAAAGAACTTTTTCGTTTTTCTAGTCAGGAGGAGATTGGAAAATGAAACAAAAAGGCATATAACAAATAGCACATGTGGTAATATAAATCTAGCATAATAGTCACTCAATAAGTATCTAATGTAGGACCATTACGTATATATTTCAGATGATCTTCCGGATCTTGTCTGTTCGGAATCACAATTTAAAAGAGAAGAATCGGAAACTCCCACAACACTAGATTCAACCTGCTCAAATAGAACTTTGGGTGCTAATATACAGCGTTTGACAAGTTTTGGTAGAATATTGCTTCAAACTGAAATCTATACCCTTGGAACTCCCAATAATGGAGTGCTTGGTACAGGAGACCATATTAATCGTGATTCAATTTTTGCTGTACAAAAGCTGAAAGACATAGGAGTGTGTGGTGTATCAGTTGGTAACGAGTATACCATTGTAAAAACAATTGATGGAACATTTTACCAATGGGGAAGTGCTCGGCAGCAAATAACCAAGACATCTTATGGCAGTGAACAAAGTAGTCCAACCGAAATGGCTTTTCACAATGTCACTAACTGCAATGTTTTGGAAGCTTGTTGTGGTGACAGCAAAACAATATTCTTAACAACACAAGGTGACTTGTACGAATGGGAAAACTGCCTTGTTTGCCAGGAGAGTGAGTCCTCCTCGAAAAGGTCAAATTCATACAGTGACGGAGTATCGTTTCCCTTACTAATTACTTGTTTAAATTTAACAATTTATAATCACAAGCATTTGAACAGAAGATTTACAACCATATATGGTCATTTCCAAACTCAAACTAAGACCATGATTCGACATCAGACACACTTTCTCAAGCTAAAAAAAATTGTTGAGAAAATTTTCTTAAAAGAGCTTCAGGAGATATGCGACCAGTGGCAGAATGTGTTTTTTATGGTGGCCGCCTTGCTAGACTCTTTAGCACAACTATATTGGTCGGCCAACGAAGATGTTGGTGCGCTGTTAATAATATCTCACTTTCGCGAATGTCTCCAAATACTTGACACTTACTCTAAGCTTTTCTGTGATATGTATTCCATAGATGGTTTTCAAGCTGTTCAAAACATTCCCCAAAGCTCAAGAAATGTTGCAAAAGAAAACTTCGATTCCTCGTCGTCTTCGGCAAATGAAGGAGACGAACGAAATGTTTTAAAAATATTTAAAAGTTCTTTTCAATTATTTCCCCATATCAGCCAGTTGTTGGAACAAATACAAAAATTCGATTGCAAATACAAGGAGAAATTGGAATTGTGGTTGGAATTTGTACGAAAAAATCGCATTGATATGGAGTTGGCAGAAAACACACGCGACTTCTGGCGATCCAATCAAAAAAATTCAAAAATAATACATTTGAAACGAAAGAACCGACGTGTCATACTGACTTCTACTTCGGTGCCCATTAAATTGTCGCATTCAATGATGGGACTGATCACACCCATATTTATTCTTTTCACTGACTTCTTGTGTCAAGTTGGAAACCATGTAACCACATTTCCATTAGAAGCAGTATGGCTGAAAAAGGATGAGTCCGGAATAACAATTAAGACGCCAGAAAAAAAGTTCACATTAGTTGCCCGCACCCCACTTGACAGAGATCTTTGGTATGATCAGCTGGAATCTTCTATAAAAAATATATTGAACTTGCCCGAAAAACTGAAGATTCCGGAAGTACGTTTGATATATTATCGTTTTAGTAGTCATCCCATTTATTCGGGGGTGTACGCTAAGGGCAGTTTTTCGAATGCCCTAATGCATGGTAAGTGTCGACTTCAATTCCCCAATGGCAAACTCTATGCCGGAGAGATAATTCATGGCGTTATCGAAGGATATGGGCGGATGTTTATGCCGAAAGTTGGACTGTATAAGGGTAACTTTAAAAATGGCAAGTTTAGTGGCCATGGGACGCTCATCATTAATGAGAAGGAAATATATGAAGGGAATTTTCGCAATGGTCTATTCCATGGTCACGGACAGCTGCATCATCCCGAGTATGTATATATTGGTGAATTTGAGGAAAACCACAAGTGTGGGTATGGCGTAATTCATCAACTCATCTCTGGAGAAAAATATCTCGGAATGTTTGCTGACAACAAACGAGTTGGTTCAGGAATTTGTATTACAGCCGATGGCTATTTCGAGGGTTTTTTTGCCAACGGTGATCTATCCGGCAATTGCGTTGCAATATTCCCTAATCAGTATTATTACGAGGGCGAGTCTTCACTGGCTGGACCAAGTGGCGCAGGAAAGTATTATATGATAAATAGAGATTCGCTAAATCAAGATCGGCAAAGTGCAGTAAGTGACTTAAGCTAAATCCATGACTTCTTTTTTGAATGTTTCTTTTGATTCAGGAATATATTGCTACGCCCAACTGTGAAAACGTGGTTATTGGAAATGTTCTATGTGGCCAATTGAGTGGAAAGTGGGATAGTGTAAAGATTAACAATGGCTCCATAGAAATAAATGTAAAAATTCCCCAATACCCTTGGTATGTATGCATAATATTGATTGTCGTAAACAAAATGTAAAAAAAATCTGAACCTGAACCATTTGCATGAAAAATCTTATTTGAAAATGGTTTCAAAAGGCATTTCTGGCTACATCGGTGACACGGGATTTTTGGAATTTAAAGTATTGCATGATTAGAAATTCTACTGCATTATTTTAGAATGATCAGTCATCAAATTAACTATAACTTTGAATACGGGTCGAAATAAGGCGGGAGTTTCAGAAATTTCTACTTCAACGGGCACGAAAAGTTTTAGAAGTTTTAAAATTATAATTTTGCGAATTATGGAGCGCGGCAAACCAATAATTGGAATATACCTAAACACCTCATCTCATTCACAAAATAACCACAAATTAGCCCACACAGATACATGACGTACGATGAGGTCCATTGAACGTACAGCTCCAGTCTTATTTCAAATTACAGCCAAATCATTAGAAGGAGTCACAGAGAGAACAATTGCCCGATTTTCCAACTCTCTCAAAAACGACGATATCAATCTATGTGCATGAAGAAAGAGGGCAACCAAATTTAATTCTCAACATACAGAACAGAATGATGTTATAAACAAATTCAAAGCAGTAGAAAAATTAACCGACAAGCGAACTAACATCAGAACCATTGAATACATCACGAATGAGATCAGTGAAGCTTGGCAGACCAACAACCACGCCGAAACCGAAAAATACTTAAACACTTACGTTCATCTAGAGAATATTTCTTTTATGTTGCTCGTATCAGCAACTTTCCACGCAGGTGGAAGGGTTGAGTTCATAGAAATGCAATTAATAAAATTCTGAAAATGACAGACAACGTTTGTTTCGGATCCAGTCCTCATCTTTGCATTTCTGTTTTTTTAGTGTTTATTCTCTGTCCAAATTCAGAGTTTTTCGAAATTATAATATAATTGTTCATTTGTTTACCTCATTTTGTTTGAGTGAGTTTGATAGCTATGATTTTTATTGTTCAATAGCTGCAAACTTGATGTGTGCATTTATAAAAAACTGCATGCATATTTTTTTCACGCGTTCCGGTTGTTCGAAAGAACATTTATGTTAATCAGACCGCTGATTTAAAGCTTTTGTTAGATCGGCTAGGGACTTAGCTTCCAATATAACAGTTGTCAAGAAAATTGGTCCACTTACAGCAGATATCGGAATACGGCCAGGACGCCCAGGGCGAAAAGGAAAACTTCTCTAAACTCTTTGCTATGTGTGTTTGGATTCCAAACTTTGGAATGTGATAATGCTGAAATAGACATTGAAGTCAATGACATTAATAATTTTTTTGCTCAGATTAGTTCCGTGCCAGTAAATGAAATCGATTTCCCTCAGTTTACAGGCTCTGGGTCGTCCTTTTCCTTTCGGTGTGTTCTTGAAGTCTAGAGCAGAGTCAAATGCAAGTCGGTTGGAGTTGATTAAATTCCAATGTACTTTCTTTCTATGTTCTACATTTAGTTAACTACATTTTAACTAGTTCTTCCGGTCTAGAAAAAGAAAAAAAAACAAAAGCCTGGTGTTCCAAAAATAAAACTCCTTTTTCTGTCCAACTGGTAAGGTAGAGGGTATGTAGTTGTCATTACTGTAATGCTTAAAGAGGTACATGGGCGTACCACAATATAATATCAACCAAATGATCTTTGGCCAAAGAAATCACTTTTGAAACCATAGTGTAGTAATTGTTTGTTTATAAATTTAAATTGCAATATACCATCCACGAGATTGATAAGAGCATAGCAGATACAATAAGCACCGCATATGCGGAATTACTTTAAATTTATTCACTTACAGTACTCTTGGGAACAATGTCGTTAACAATTACGAGAAATGGTCTAGCTTATTCGCTGATTTTGAATACGAAATTTTTGATGATTTGGCGAGTGCGACAAATACCTCTAAAGCTATAACTTTTGCCTTCTGGAATCGCGTGTTGGCATTTGTAAACAAACAACAAGAGATCGAAAATGAGAAAATGGGCGATCTAGACATGATTAGTGGAAAGAACGGAAGCAGGGACTGGAGCGTATTAGAATTGGATTCAATTGATAAACTTAGCTTGAACTCATCGAACTTCTGCTACGATCAGCAGGTGGAGTTAAACAAACTGAATCACTCGCAGTCGCAGGACAACCTTTTTAATGGATGGGATTTTTACAATTCGGACCTGTTAAACACTTTTGGTAGTGGAAAGATAAAAAGTCAAGGTAGTGAAGAAGCAGGAAACATGTCAAGATTCCCAGCCCTAGTAGCAATTATGGAAAGCCATGGAACAACAACATGGGATTCCTTTAATGACAGTGCTCTGGGTAATAGCGAAATGATAGATGACAGGTAATAATAGATTGATTGATTCGAAAAATACGTGAAATTGTAAATATTCCAGTATTTCACTGCACACCGAAATGGACATGATACCATCGTTTGGAATATCAGAATTAGGTGATCAGGACTTGGGTGCCATAAAGTCATACTTATACGATGCCTTCCGATATCGCTATCATCCCCTGAAACATCTCAACGACCGGATAACGCAAGCATTCTATCGATCTTACGGATGCTGGAAAGTGAAACCAACATCGCTTTTAGCGAAACAAGCAATGCTCGAGTGGGAATCGATATCACACAGAGTGTACAAGTTTGTACGCCGTCTGTTTCCAGCATTACCAGAGGATTACTGTGTAATTGGTGAACAAAAGGAGTTTGTCTCCCATGTCACGTTGCTGTATCCCATACTATTATCGGAGAACATCTACTCAATGCTATTTGTTTTGTATGCCAACCAATATAGTCAAAAAGACGAAATGTATCGCCAAAACATCATTCAGGCCGAAAAGCTAAGCGATGAGGAGCTAATCCACCGTTTGGACTTCGACAGGTAAATATAGAGAATAGTTCTTTATGGCTTTCTACTAATCATGCGTTTAGAGGTCTGCTTGCGGTGATTAAAACCGAACAATTTGTGGAGGCAATCGAAATGCTGAATAAGCTTAAAGAAAAATATAGCCCCATAGCCATGTTAACTGTGATAGAAAATTGTATGGAGAAGTTGACTCAAGCTTACAGGACGATTTCGCGAGGTAATACCAAATAAGTTCTTTTAAAGCACGTTTAGCAACAACATAAATTTTGCCGACACAATTTCAGATAGTCACCACAGTTTCAATGCAGACGTTATTATGCCCCTAACATTGGTGCTATTGCTGCGAGCTGGCATTCATCATCTGGGGGCGGAACTGGCGCTATTGGATGACTTAACAGACGGAAAACATTTTCAATTTGAAATGAATGGCATACGCGGATACTGCCTAACAACACTGAAGGTTAGTATAAATCATTATAAGGACTAGAACTAATTCATTATTGTTTTTTAGGCCTCATATGAACATCTGGCAAACAAAACATCGTTGTACGAAAATAAATAACCTGTTAATTGTCATTTGCACGCTTTATTAGAGTAAATACAATACGAAAGTGAATGAGAGAGATTTGATTTTTAATTATTTGATTAATTTAGAACAATTAAAAACTTGAAAAACTTATTTGGAATTATCATGGTCTACATAAGGTCGCCCAGTAAGACCTATCCGATCACTGTCAAAAGACATATTGTGATTTGAAATTCAAGGAGAGTCAAATCATAATTGTGCAAAAACTACTAAGTTTATTGTCAACAATAGTCTTCTTGGCCGACCGACCTTATGTAACCTTGGGAATTATGATACAATCTTTGCAATGCAGGGTAGGTTGATAAAATAATAACAAAAAACACAAACACACACATAATTTCAAATTTACTACTTATAAATGCAAAAATTGTTGCGTCAATGTGATACATTTTTAAACAATATTTTCATTTAAAAGAAAATTGCGAAAAAAAGTATGGAACCCCAAAAATGCAAAACTTTACTCTCTGCTAAAACGGTTAAAACTGATTTAAAAATTGCAATAGAATTTAAAAATGTTCCAACCCAACATACCAGAAATACACTGCAGCTTGAGAAGAATATCATAAAAATAGTTTGCCATAGCAATTTTTTAACAATGATTGGGAAACACTTATGTTGCACAAACTTTTCTCAAATCTGTCCTTTGTTGACAAATTTCATTTTATTTTTTTTTAGTAGAAATTGTCAACAAAAAATAGTTTTCTTTTGGTAAAACGCAAAATCGCGCGAATTTATTACCCATTTTCGGACGAAACTCTTAAGGTAATGATGAATAATAAATCTGGGAATCTGTGATATATATTATTATTACGGTTGTTGTTGTTGTTGTTGTTGTAGCAGTAGTACATGTGTGTGTTTGTGTTCTGCTAATCTGGTTCCAGCTCCAGGTTTAGAAATTCGGCTACTTTAACGGGCTGTAGCCAGAGATCCTCTGGAGTGAGTTGGGTAGGTTTGGCTGAGCAATTTAAAAGGTGTAGCGTATTGTGCGTATCGCACGCCGGGCAGGCGTCACGTCGTCGTGCCCAATACGAATTGAGGCGACTACACCATCCTGAACGTAATTGCGCCAAAACTACCCTGGTTTGTCTAGGCAGCTGACGTTCTTCGGCTGCAATGGATGGGGGGTGGACTCCGAGGACGGCATTCACTTTATAACTGCTAATAGCATCCGCGACTGCATCGGTGTGAATGCCACTCAGACCTGCCTGATAGGCTTCTTGATCTAGAGGCTCTCTCTTGTAGCGCTGGACCTCCCTCTCTAGATCATGTATGTCCTTCCTGACACGCCTGGGTGGGGGAGAGTTATCCACCATATGATGGTTGGGATGACTCTCACGGTAACACCCAAGCAGGTACTGCAACGAAAGCATATGATTATGCTGACGTAAGGGAAGGACTTCCGCCTCCTCATGTAGATGGTCCACTGGTGTCATGAGGAGGCACCCTGTCGCAGTTCTCAGGGCAGCGTTCTGGCAGCTCTGGATATTCTTCCACTGCGTAGCACTAGTATTCGCAGACTACACTGGAGCCGCATAGTTGACCACAGACCGACCTATCGCGTTATAAGAGGTCAACCAGGATTCTTTGTCCGCACCCCAAGAGCTGCCGGCTAGCGCCTATTTCGCAGATAGCTGTGGCTTGCGCGGACGACTTGAACATGCTGTCGAACGTTACCCCAAGAATCTTGGGGTAGTTCGTGGTCGGTATTAGATTCCCCTCGACCTGAACATTCAGCTGTGTTCTCATCTCCGCAGACCATGTGGTAAAGAGTGTGGCCGTTGATTTCGTGGCGGATATTTTCATATTCCTCGCGTGGAAGTATGCGGCAAGCTCCGCGAGATAGGGGTTCAACCTTTCGCATATGTCATCGACCACTGGACCCGACGCCATGATCGTACAATCATCCGCATACGTTACGATCTCAATGCCGTCTGGAGGGCGAGGAATTCCGGAAAGGTAGAGGTTAAACAGTTCCGGAGATATCACCCCGCCTTGGGGAACTCCCTGTTTCACTCTACGGGCTTTGGACTTCTTGTTCCGGAATTCCACGTACGACTGGCGTCCACACATATAGTTGATTATCCAACGTTTCAAACTTGGCCGGAGGGTAGTTCTCTGTACGTCCTCAAACAGTGTGGCATGATTGACCGTATCAAATGCCTTTGATAGGTCAAGGGCTACCAACACTGTTCTGTCACACGGCCTGTTCTGGTTCAGTCCTCTACTAATATGTGTGGAAATGGCGTGTAATGCTGTTGTGGTACTATGTTGTGGACGGAATCCATGCTGGTGGTTGGCAACTGTATAGCTTCCTCTAATGGTGGGGAGGAGTAAAGCCTCAAGAGTCTTTGCTACTGGCGACATAAGCGAAATCGGCCTGTACGATTCGCCTTTACTGGCATCCTTGCCTGGCTTCAGTAGCGGGACCACCCGGCCCATTTTCCAGGTTTCGGGCACTATGTGGGTGGCTAGCGACAAATTGAGAACTTTCGTTAAGTACTCGACTCCCGGCGTATCCAGCTGCTTCAACATTACCATTGAGATTCCGTCCGGGCCCAACGCTTTGGATGACTTAGCGTTACGGATGATATTTGCAACATCACCCATCGTAAACTGTGGTGGTTCCTCCTCGGCGGGAAGAGATCTGATACGACGTAGTACTCTTCGCTTCGCCCTATCGCTCTCGAGGTGCTCGACAAATTGTCGTTTAAAATATTCCGCGCACCTCTTCGGATCAGTCACCGTTACGTCGTTAAAAGTGACTGAGGTCCTATCATCCTTTTTTCCAGGGTTCGAGAGCGACTTAACCGTTACCCACAGCTTACTCATATCGGTTCCAATGTTGCAGCACTTCAGATGGTCTAGTCACTTTTTCCTCTTATGCTCCTGTACCAACCGGTTGACTTCCACTATCAAATCACTGATTCTAGGATCAGTAGGGTTGGTACGACGGAGATCATCACGCTCGTTTGCTAATCCCGCTGCCTCTGCTGGGAAGTTTGGTCTTATCTCGGGTATTCGACCAGCAGGTATATAGCGAGCGGCTGCAGCTCTGATGATGTTTCGGAAAATCCTTTCTGCTACCCGAACATCAGAAGGGTTGGGCAGTTCTCTGAAGCGGCGGTTGGTGAATTCTCTGAACTCTGGCCAGTGAGCTTTCCCATGGTTAAGGAAAGTGCGGCGTTCAGAGGTTATGAAATCGGGCGACCTGCTTATGGAGACGATTATCGGGAGATGGTCTGAGCCAAGAGAAATGACGGGTTGCCAAGTCACGTCATTTATCAGACCGGGTGACACTATGGTTAAGTCTGGCGAACTGTGACACTCTCCTCTTATTCGGGTGGGGGCATCCTCGTTAACCGAGCAGAATGTGGAGCAGTCAATCTGCTCTGCCAGCACTGATCCCCTCTGGTCATTACCTAGGACGGAATGCCACAACTCATGGTGGGCATTAAAATCCCCTAGTACCAGGCGGTTATTGCCTACCAATAATGGGCTAATATCAGGCAAATAACGCGGTTCACAGCTATTAATCGGCGGAATATACACATTAAGCACCTCTACCTCGGCAGTTCCACACTTGACTACTACCCCCATACATTCCATGTATGGGTCACTAGAGACTAGCTCAAGCGAGATAGGTCTGTACTGAACAGAATGGTGTAACAGGAACGCTAATCCCCCACCTCCACTTCTGGTGCGATCCTTCCTTAGTACGTTGTAACCATAACAACGTTGTAGGCTGCAATTTTCATTCAGCTTGGTTTCCTGCACCGCTGCGATCTTAATATTCCTCCAACTCATAAATTCCACTATCTCATCTATTTTGCCTCGAAGTCCGTTGCAATTGAATTGCAAGAATGATGCACAATCCGGAGTTGGAACAGCAACATGTGGCGTTAGGTGCTGCGGTGTTGGTTGCTGTTCTGGAGACTGCGGTGGAGTGCCATACTCCGACGACGTCTCTGACGAGGACGACGAAGAAGAGGACTCGCTGGGGACTACGTTACTGCAGCAAGTCGCAACATAATCCCTTTCGCTGTAGTCTCGCAAACGCCTTAATCCGGAACAGTTCTTGAAGTGCACCCACTCTCTGCATCCATTACATCGCACCGAGACAGATCTGTGGTGGATGACGTTCTGACAAACCGAGCAGAACCAAGGTCCGGGGTTTTTCTCAATCCCGGCACGGACCAGTAAAATCCGGAGCAAGCATTCCGGGATATGCTGCTCCCAATGCAGAAAAATAAACAAACACAAACATGTACATACCGGGTTGGCAGCCGCTGGCCGAAATTGGAACCTTGTTGTTTCGGGTCAATCCGGTATCGTAGAACCCACTGCCGTGGGAATGATTATTATTACGGTTGTCGTCGTCGTCGCAAAGTGAAGTCGAGGCGACAATAATGATATTAGGGTTGTCGTTTTTTGTCGATAGCGACAAATAATTGCTATTATAATTGTCGATACAACAGTCGACGTGAAGTCGATTTTTAAGAAAATCTGTAGCCGTAAAAAATTGTGACGACATTGTTTCTCTATTCGACGTTGATATTTTAACTTTTTTGTATTTGATATTTGACCATGAAAATAACAACAGCAAAACAATTTGAAATGTTGGTTTCCGAATTGGAAAAAAACCATGTTTGGCAAAAGGGTTTTCCAAAGGCCGTTTTCCAACTAATTTTAAATCAGATTGGAATCCATTGCTACTAAATTAAATGTAAACGGATCACCGATTAGAGAATTATTTTTGTGTATTTTTATTAGTTCGTTTTCTAAAGTTCTTCCATGGTAGAATCAAGGAGGTAAAGTCATGCAATCATATGTTTAAAATTTTTTTCAAAAATTATTAATCCATTGTACTTACACAAATCAGAGATGGACACCTGTTTTAATGTAATGAAATGTGACAAGGTAAATTACAGAAAATGCAGAGATGGGTATGCTTATTAGAAAGGACTTGACCTTCTTAATTTTACCATGAGTTCTTCTAGGTTTGGAAAGATTTAAAATTTAAAACTAAAAAACAATTGTGCACAAAAGCATGAAACCAGCAGCACTGGAGGTGGTATTTTTAAGCAAATGACTTTGTCGCTTTGGGAGGAGTTCTTCGCGAATGTAATGCAGTATCAAAAGTTACTAAATCCACCAGGTCGTGCACTTGGAATAAAAAATATGGAAAACATAATTGCAACAGACGTTATAGATCATGAAAATGAGCAAATGGACAATGCTGATGACAAGACTGATGTAAGTAATATCCAAGCTTCTCGATCGCCCAGAGAAAAACAATGATAAAAAGTCATCAAGGAAAGAAGAAACTATTGAACTCTTGAAAGGGCAGTATAAACTTTTGGAACAACACAATCAAGAGTCAGGCAATGCAAATATATTTGTTTGCTGCCTTAGCACTCGCTGCTGCACTACTAATACATTCTCACTTCATCCTCACTTGAACTTAAGATATGTAACGCATTTATAATATCCAATTTTTTTTTTTTTATTTTTCCGGAAAAAAAATATTTTTTCAAAATACAGACAAATTTTTAACTTTTTTGTCAGTAACAAGGCAGGGTTGCCAACGTTCTTTATAATTGTTGCCAACTTTTATTTTAAACTGTCGATGTCGCTTCCATGCCTTACCGTAATACCATTTTTGAATCAAAGCGAGGGCAACGTGCACATAAAGTCGACGACGACTATAGGAACGACAACCGCAATTGGGCAGATTATTCTCAAGCCATTTTGGTATCTTGGGAAATTATTTCATTTACTATTCACAACAATACTTACACATACGACAAATTGTATTCAGGTAATTTCTAGCTAGCCCTACCTTGGAAATAATTTTACCATGTTTGGAAGGTTTCATTTTAGTTTGTAAGGATCAGGCCGAAACCTACTTGTGGTGTTAATTAAAAAAAATGATCTTAATCCAGCTCCTATTTTCCACTCCTAATTAGAAACAATAATCAGCACACTTTATTTCTTCTGGTTCCGAAAAAATAACGACACTCAGCGTAATAACGCTGAACTTAATATTGAGTTAAACACACTTTATTACTTTTGGGGAATACTATGATAGGATCATTAATATATATATATATATATATATATATATATATATATATATATATATATATATATATATATATATATATATATATATATATATATATATATATATATATATATATATATATATATTTAATTATGCGAATGTTAGTTTCTTAGTATTGGAATAACGTACATAGATATAAAACAGCATTGTCTCTATTACTATAATAATGATGCTTTGCACAATAATTGCTATTCAATTTATTGATATACCAGCAAAAGACACTTCTAAACCAGCATCGTTGGATTCCATACGACTTTTAATATGCGCCAAAGTATTCTTGTAGTGCATCTCAATTTGTTTGGTTTCTTCGCTCGGCTCCAAGTTCGGAAGTTCCTCATTTATTTTTGCAATCAACTAAGAAAATGAGACATTATTGACGTAGAATCGGTCAAGTTTTTCGAGCATATGTTGTGCACTTACTTGATTGAGCATAGCGACAGTAATTAAGGAATTACCACGTTCAAAGTAGAAAAGGTAATGATTCAAGAGTTCCACATACAGCTGGACTTGTACGCCATTATCCAAACACTGGGAAGCTATACGCGCCCCCTTCTTTAAACAATCCAATGTCTTTTTCTCATCTCGCATTTCTTCGCCATTTTTCCTAAAAAACCAATTACATTGTTCAAACAGTTGTGTAACACACTTTAAGGCAGACCCACTTTCCACTCCAAAAGAGAGAAGCACATCCCACAACGCCCCTACATTGATCTGGTTTTTTGAGGAGCTTCGATGCTGCTAAAGCGCAATTTGTGCGCAGAGGATCTGCGTTCTCTTCACCAAAGCATTTCATTTGTTCTAATGTTGACATTATGAGTGTAATGGCAGCTAGCTGCGCCTTCGAATCTGATATTTCGTCCTCGTAGAGAGAGAAGGCTTGAGTCATGAATTCGTAGGCCACAGTTTCATGATTTGTGTATCCGATTTCTCCAATAACCAGAGCCCCTTGTAGATACAGACGTAGTGCTAGCTCTGCCAAATCTGCCTTAGCAAGGGCAGAAATAGTGCTATGGCAGTACTGAATAATTTTCTGACACTTCTTATCCCAGTTATCGTCATGTTCGAATTCTTGAGCTTTGTATTTGTAGGCCAGCTGATATGCCGAGAAAACCAAAGGTGGCAAAACAAGTTTGATGCGATGTGGCCCCCCAGCCCCCAAATGTTTGCGGGCTGTTTGTAGGATCTTATATTGCATATCAGGGTCATCCGATTTCAGCATGTGCACAAAACTGCAAATAACAAATTAGGTATTCTTACAACATAGAAAAATGATGTGTCTTACCGTGCCACGATTCCTTGTTCTTCGGCAAATTCATCGAGATCTACCACTGCTTCCTGACCCTTACTAATAATTACAGTTTCGTCGTCCTTAATCAACGGCGCTATAATGTTGAGAACAGCTTCAGCTTGTTCGGCTGTTGGAATTAATGTCTCAAATTCCAAGATATTCATAACTAAATACAAGGCCAACGTTTTTCGGGAGGTATAATCAAATTTACCCAACAATGGACAAAAATTTGTCAGTTGAATAACTGTTAAGGCGTTATTATAGAAATCAATGCAAATGCGAAGTAGTCGTGACAATTCTTGATTTACTGACAAGAGGTGTGATATGCTGTTGAAATAAATTGTAAATCAGTCATAAATAAATATATTATAACAGTGCTTTGATGGTTATATAAAATATATATGTCTGACTTCCTACGCATTATTTTGTCGGGCGTAAAATTTTAGTTTTGCATTGCTTAACGCCGTTGTAAACATGAACATATACCCCAAAACCGTTTCGTATCTTATAGGAAGTCAGCATCTTATTTAAACTTTGACACCGATTATACTATACACACTTATTCATATTAAGACTCTCAAGTATCTGTGCCGTTGTCCCCAACACCTTGTCCACATAATCAATACGATCCGGGTAGACTTTTTGTGCCAAATTTAATAAAGCGATTTGTAAGGATATCGTGTCTTCAAGCGGCATATCAGAACGATTCTATATTAATGGTCAATGGTGTACATTGTTAATGCTAATAATAGTCTTGAATAGACAGTTTCATAATTACCTGCACTATGTTGGCCACCTGTACGCTAAAGACTTCAAACAACTTCACCTCGGCTGGAATAATCGATTCGATATCTGTGCCGCTATTCTAAACATAAAATGCGATTGCTATGCATTGCTTCTAATATTCACAATTTTTAACTAAACATACTTTACCACTGCGCTGATTATATGTCGCTAAACGGTCTATTAAACATATAATTATGTTTTTCACATTAACCCCAGGCTGGAGCTGAGCACAAGATTTCAAAAATGGATCTAGTGTTTGTAAGTGAAATTCATCGGGAAATACTTGAATAATGCACTCCATTAGGTATTCCTGAGCAATGGCGTCACGACAACTAACCACTTGCTCCAAAATTCCAGGCAATATTAAACGTTGATAGATCTCCAGGGACGCCGACTCTAATTGAGATAAACGTACCAAATTTGTCCCAACTAAAATCTTTAGTTCTTCCCTTTCTTTTTCCCGACGAGTTTTCTCGCTAGAGTGTCCTTGGTGTTGCATGCGCACCCATAACTTGTTCATTTCAGCGAAGTTAGTCAATACAAAGTCAATGGCATCGTACACATTGCCTTCATGCTCATTTTCAGCTACTAAAACATCGGGCAGTATGTTTCTGGTACATTGTAAAAGATAGTTTCGCAAAAAAAGCCCTCTAAGTGGGTGCTGCACTCCGCGACACATCTCCACCAAATCCTTGAGGATGCTTCTCTTCAATGAAGGGTCGTTTTTTATGTAAACAATGCCAACGGTTATAAGCAAATAAAGACGAGGTACAATTGTGTGCGAATACTGGACGAGTTCATAATGGTCGGTCTCCTTTGTTGCCTTCTCGCTCAGGTACAATTCCAGGCGACATAGTTCGTCCGTAATAACCATATCTAATGAGAAGAGCACAATTTAGTTAAAATGATCCATATTTCCTCCCACATACATACACAACTCGTAATAACTCTTAGGTGACAACATCGATGTACGAAGTTCACTTAGCATTGCACTTGCACATTTCAATGCGTCAAGCATGCGATCTTTGTCCAAGAAGTGGTTCATTTGGAAAGCCTGCTTGCGTGCAGCACCAATAGCTTCTGCTAACAACTTTTCTTGGTCATCCATTGTATTTGGCATTGTCTGCAGGAAAAAAGAATGTCGATTTTTTATATAAGGTACATAGTAAATGTTTCAATAAAAACAAAAGACAGGACATGTATTGTAGACACAAACACCAATGTGATAAAATGGAACAATTCCAAGCGTTCGCCAAAAATATCAAAATTTTTCAAAAGCTTGAAATATGTATATTAAATAGAATAAAATCATCCCAGCAAACCAAATGACGGCTGTCAAGAACACCTGCACAAAGTCTGAACAATCTATCTGATTAAGTACTCCCAGATCTCCGCCCGAATTCTCAGTTGAAGTTAAAGGGCAGTCTTACTGGCCGATATTTATTTGATATACAAACATGCTTAGTTTATATATATTAGGATAGGATATATTAAATCAAGATATAGACCCGCATATATATTTGGATGATGTTCATGTGAGCCTGGATGTAAAGAGGTGGTTTCGAAAATTTGTACTATAATTGTACGAAAAGTACTGAATGATATGAATGTGGTATTAGCTGAAGGAATAAAAGTGAAATTTTTAAGTTTGATACTGAGGACTCTGTTGCTTTCTGTTGTTGAGTTCTGGTGGTGGCTTTGAAAATGTATAATATAAGTTTTCAAAAAATACTTATTTGTACTAATTTTGGATCACTGTTGGTGCTTAGGAAGGAGAGATTTGTTTGGAGATTGTTTTGGAAATGTTACCAAACTTGATATTGGTCGGAGGGATAGAGCTGGGGTTCGAAATTTGATATTGAAGTCACTGTTGGTTTCCAGGGTTTACATATGAAGACGTTGAAATAGTTTTGAACATTTCAAAAATTTAAAATAAAAGATTTTAAAACTTTTTGGTGTTAAAGGTAAATTATTTACTATTATTCTTTCCGAAAAAGTAAAAATCTCGAATAACATTTAAGCCCTTAAAAGTCTGAATCAGGATGTATCAAGCTTTGATTAAAAAATTTTGTCAAACTGATGAAGAAAAATGTTAAGATGTTGAGAAACACTTGTTGCATGTCATTCCAAACAGTTAACAAGGAAAGCGGGCATGTTATTGGGCTAGTATTTAAATATTGTTTGTGAAATGCTTTTATAGCGCAACATTGAAGAAAATTAGCCCACTGGTTATATTAGATTCAGTGGTTAATTAAACAAATATTTTTAAAAACTGCACAGTTTATTGTCTAATTGTTAAAAGTAGTCTTCTTGGCCGACCTCAAATAGGCCTTGTGCAAAAAGAAAAAAGCCAACAATAATGTATCCAACAAGATCATATAGAGACAAGCGATGTTGAAAATATGGGTTTATTCACATTGGTGGCCTCCTACTAGGGGAATAATGCATTTTCCAATGTATTGTCATTTATCAGCTAACATCTGAATCACTTTGTCTCGTAAGAAAATACAACTTTCAAACGTAAACTTTCCATTACTTTTATTTCACCGCAAACTATCCGACAATTGTTTTATTGCCGAAAAAACAATTAGGAATTGCAGCTGCGATAATTGTCGTTGACTAGTTAAATTGTCGCTGCGATTTTGTTGCATTGAAAGCATTTTATGTCAGCTAAGCATTTGCATTGAAGCACTTATTCTAATTTTTTTTAAAACAAATACACACATTTATTAAAGAAAATAAATACTCAATTACCGTGCTAGTAATGACGCCAGTCGGAGAATACGATGCCGAACTCCAAGGATACATCAATTTGTACGTAGTCGAACAGAATAGAATGGGAATTCATGCAGTTACAAGGAAAATCTAATTAAAATATAATCACAGGTTTAGGTACACGTAGGCATGAAGGTTTTGTAGATTTCGAGGTACCCAGAAACAGAAATTAAAAATGCTTGGAAAGGGTATTGGGTTGCACTTATTTTGATATCTGACTTGTGTCGTCAATGCACATATATATTTTTTTGCATCAATTATTTTTGCAGTATACCCTTACATACTTTATACGTGCTAGCTGACTTGTAAATCGTGCATTTAATTGTAACATTAATAGTTTCAATTACTGTTACTAGCTTGGTTAACTGAAGGGAGCACCCATTTCAAACTTACCATTGTAATATAATACAAATCAAATATATTAAATATTATCTTTGTACAATCCCAGAATAGGCGTTTTTTCTTATCGTTCGTCGCCGTTCAGAACGAGTTCAATGAGCAATTCACGGAAAGATACTGTTGGAACTATTATTAGTTTATGACAGGCAGCTGTTTAGGAGCCCGGGTACACACTACCGAACAAGCTAAATGTATTTTAAAGCTATCAGCTGATTCCCTTCTTTCTTTTTGTTAAGCACACACATTTTTTTTAAATCAATTATTTTAACAGCGTTACCCAAAAATTCGAGGTACCCAGTCGATGTTTTGTATGCTCGACGTATTTCAGTGACATTTAAAAATACATGTGTTTGTTATTTAACGCTGTAACTATTTTTGTATTCATTGCCGTTCAGAGTTTTTGCCGATCAAATGTTTTTCTTTTTTTTTCAAAAAAAATCGACAGTTTATTGCTCTACTAACTATGTTGATGTGGCTTACGTTATTATTTTGCCTTGAATCCATTGTAATGGGTAAATTTTTAGAGCTATAGGAAAATGTGAAAATGACCAGTTGCGAATGTGCTGTATGGCATCGTCTTGTTGAAACCACGCCAGAGCATGCATTTTGATAACAAAGTTTAATTATTTGCAAGCATTGTTCTTTTGTAAGACGATTCATGGTTAAATTCTAGACCAAACTAAAAATATTTGACAATGAAACGAAAGGGACGTGAGTGTTGCCAAAAATATAATAGCCAATAATCCACCTTTTTATACGCACGCAGGCGTTTTGGTAAACACACTTGGTAGAATAATACAAGTAACAGCAAGTGTTCTTGTACAACAAAACGTAAGAACAACCACATACAAATTTGTTTTTGTAGAAAATATAAGTATCGGAGTTATATGTTTTATTTTGGAAAGAAACGCCCCAGGAATGTTCGTATAATAAATAAATATATACACAAAATTGGCAGAAGTCGGACACACATAGAAAAAATTGTAATCACTCTACTTCCTTTTTATTATACCATAATCCATATTAGTCATAGAAATTGTTTTTTGTGTGCATTTTATTGATCTTTAAATCCCTGTAGATGTAGGTTATCGACCTGGTGAACTCCGGCATCGTTTTCCTTTCGACCTGCTGAGCCGTGAAGCTGTTTGTTTCGAATTGTTGATCCCTTGAATATTTAAATCTGGAAGCGTCGAACGGGCGCGTGGGAGCTTTTTTCGGTAAATCGCGTTTTAAAGACGAGGTATTTGTGCTAATTTGGCTATATATTGTGTGTGAACATAGTGAAGTAGCAAAAAATGTGTTTGTGTGGATTTGATGTGGCACATAGATTGCTCTTAGATTTAAGATGGGATCCCGCCGTGTGTGTGTGTGGTCGGTATCCATCGGGACAACGTATTTAACTGTGTTTTTGAAGCAAATCAAGGAATTTAGTGTCCATCGTTTGAAAGATGCATGGAAGTCACAATATTTTAAATGTATGTAAGTTTGTTGTAATTTACTGTTTGTTTGATTTGAATGTATGGAATGGATGGAAATATATGTCCGTAAGATATATGGAGGACATATGTACCAATGAAATGTACGTGATATTCTTTGATTAGTTGATTATTAAAAGCCATCATATCACACGTCCTGAAAATCTCATGATTTATACAACTAACTTTCTACATTGAAGAGACGACATGATATTGATGATTTTGCCAATAAAGTCACCTTTAGTGACTTCCAGGCAAAACTATTGCATCTGGGTGAGGAAAATACTCGAGTTACCCACGAGAAGCAAACGCATTCTCGACGAGTCACTGTATGGTGTGCTTTTCGGACTGGAGGAATCATTTTACCTTTTTTACGAGAAGGAGGCAGTTTAGGTACAAACTGCCAATGGTGTAAGATATCTTGAAATGATAACCAGTTTTTTTGCGATTTAGCTCCTTTATATTTTTTTCTTAGGGTTTCTATGTCGACAATGTTTGCATTTAAAAGCCCCCCATAAAGTTAAGTTAAAGATTAGTATTAATTATTAACAGAACAGTGTTAGCTTTTTTGTTCGGGATACCATAGTATTTTGTTGTGTGCAAAATCGTCATTGTTGTTTTTATAAAAACAACGTTTGTTTATTAGTAATTAATTATAAACACTTGTAGGAATAGAACACCAATCGTTTTGCTTACATATTGACGCTGCGATATCAACACACAATATTTAATACTAATTAACAAACTTAAATTATATTAACAAAAGGTCATGTACATTGCTTGTTTTGTTTCACTGTTAAACATCTTCAGTTTGGTCTATAATTTAACCATCAATCGTCATACAAACGAACAACGTACTTCTTCAAAGATGCAGCGAATCGTAACGCAACTGTGACTAACTGTGAATGGTGAACGATGAATGGTAAGATGATATCTGTCGTCGGCTTTAGTTGGTTCAAATTCGACGTATATATCCCTATTAGTTGCAGAATCAAACATAAACCGAATAGATATGGATTTGAATAAACAAATCATTTTCGCCGTCCGGAAAAGGCCTTGTCTCAACAATTCGAGAAATATCAGTGAAAGAAACTTAGCTTGGAAGCAGTTGGCGGAAGAATTGAAGATAGATGGTGAGACTCAATTAGGCAATTTTGCAACATCCTATTGGTATTTAAATTTAAGTGTCCTCTATTCTATTTTAATTTTATTTTCGAAACCACTAGGACTTAGGACCACATAGAATTGTAGAATTTAAATACATTGAGTGCAACGACATATTTTTTTCTTTGGCAATTCCATATTTTCCGAGTTATGGGCCCCCTCATTCCGTTAGTGCCTTGTATGTTTCCAGTATTTGTAAGACCAACCAGGGCGATTGCTAATTACAACTGTGCAAGGCATAAACACGGCAGGCGCTTTCTATTGGCCATAGTTTAGACTAGCGTAATAATGGGTGGAAATCAGTAAGAAGGAAATAGCGTTCAAAGGCTTTGATCAGGTCATAATTAATGTTTGCCAGGTATAGTTATTCAACCACACTAACAGAAATATTTCAAGTTCGGTGTTTAACATTCTTAATGAGGTCTATCACCTACAGCGGAACGTTGCCTATGTAGGTGCACTTTTCATATATCCCCGGATCTCATAAAATTATGGCAGAAATGTTCTTTTATGGATCAATATGATCCTATTATCCCCATACATGTGATATTTCATATTTTTACGCTATGTGCCACTTTTTATAATAACGATTAACCCAGGTGAGGGAATAATGTGTACATTGGTTCGCTTTTTCACAAAACTTCCATGTAACGATACCTCCCTATATTCGGAATTTTGATTATTTTTGTTATAGATAACAACCACTGTAGTTGAAAATGTCCATTGTTGGTTCAAGATACCTTTCATTTTTCAAGGTTTCAATACTTGATATTATATAGTAGGAAAATTGTAATGTTCTCGATTAAATTGTTTTTAAACAGGTAAAATAGTATCAGTCGGTTTTGCCGACAAATATTCATCTCTCCTAGCCTTTAGTAATGGTTATTCAACCTGTTGACACTTTATGGGGAAGGTTCCGAAGCAATTGACCAATATCAGACCTAAGACTGATATGAATATTACAACGTGCCAGATTTGGACTATATCGACTGCATCTAATACAGATAAAAATATTGGTATGTGCAAAATTTGAACGAAATCGAAGGTACCTGGATGTACCTGAAAAAATGGTGCGTTCTCTACCATCTTTATAACAGATCTTGTGTTGATGGAAATATTGAAATGTGCCAAGTCTGAATGGTATCGGACTCTGGAACGACGCGAATTTTTAACAATTTTATATTTTATATGAAAACGTTTTGTGTTCATTCGAAAAAGCAATCACTGATCCTTCCTACAAGCTGTAAATTTAAAAATAAACTTGTAAAAATTCGGCTAAGTTTGGCCGGGCCGAATTGTTACCTCCACCTTTTTGAAGAAAATTAAAAAAAACGTCGAAAAATACCTCTCAAATGTAACCTCTTATACAGGGGGCTATACGAAGACGAATTTTTAACAAGGCGTACCCATTACGAACTTTAAATACAAAAATTGAAACATTTTTTTTGTAAAAATGTCCCTTAAATCATCGAAATACCGAATATTGGGAGGCACCGTTTTATGAGGGCGATTTTAAGTCATAGGCTATATGACTTATATATATATATATGTTTTATATTAAAGCAACTGAAATTATAAGGAGAATGAATGGCCTCTAACTTTTGTAAAGATTAAGAAAATGAGAAAGTTTTTCTTGTTTTAAATTAAGCACTTTATTCACTTTTTAAAAACTTAAAACAAAAAACCAAAATTGATTTTTCTTCTAGAATTTTGAATGCCATAAATCATTTTTGAGAAGTTTTTTTTACAACTCGTGTTTGTTTTCGTCTTTTAAGTACTGCCCAAAAAAGTTTAAAAATGGCTAGAAGCAAATACAGTACATGAATAAAACAGCAAACTATCAGTGACTATGAAAGCAAGTTATCGCAGAAAATGAAAATGATGAATATTTCATAAGTATTTCTGTGATTTCTCGTATACTAAGTCGGTTTTATGAGCCTGGATCAGTAGTAACAGTTTATAAAGGATGAAGGCCGTGAAAAACTTCAGCCCGTACTGAATAACATTGAAGAGTTTAACTGAATTGGTGAGAGAGCTATTGGATATAAGCTCGAGATCAGTGCGTAGACTAGTAGTAGCAGCTGGTCTGCATGCCCATAAACCCTCAAAAAAGCCGTTTATATCTGAAAAAAAAAAAACGGAAAGCCAGGATGGCTTTCGGAAACGATAATATTAATTGGAATCCAGCTCAATGGAAAGACATTTTATTCTGGGATGAGTCTTTGTTTAATATTAAAGGCTCAGACATGAAAAATTTTACGGTGAAAAGACCAAAAAATGAAAGACTCAAGTCGTTGTGTTGCAAGGGTACAGTAAAGCATGAGGGAGGGTCAAAAATGGTGTGGCGATGTTTTTCTTTCTATGGACTTGGACCTATCCATGAAATAAAGGAAGTTATGGATCGGTTTGTTTACAAAGATGTGTTGGACATCACATTGTTCCCTTTCGCTGAGGAAAATATTCGGCTTATATGGGTGTTTTAGCATGGCAATGATCCCAAACATGCATCAAAACTTGTCAAAGATTGGTTGCGGGAGTCAAAAATCGATGTTTTGTCATTGCTGGCACAATCACCTAACCCATACCTCATAGAAAACTCCCAAGGTATCGTAGACAGGAAGGTCAAGCGAGATTCAGAAACAAATAAACACAAACTTTTCCAAAGAATTCAGGGTACCAGGGAAAGCATACCCAAGGATCAAATTGAGAGTGTTATAGATTCAATGCTTCGTAGGTGTGCAACTCCTATCAAAAATAATGAATGCTATAGACTAGTAGCCAAAATTTAATTATTTCAAAATAAAAAATCAAAAAGTTGCTTTAGTTTTGACCAAGCAAAAATTGGGTCATTTTAGTTTTCCATATATTATTTTTCATTCAAAATTATTTTTGCATTCTTAAATTTATTTTTTTTAAAGGTGAATTAAGTACATCATTTAAAACTGGAAAAATAATTACGATTTGTTTATTTTTGTAAAAGTTACAGGGCATTTATTTTATTTGCGATTTTAGTTGCTTTAGTTTTGGCCACCAGATTTTTTGTAGTTACATATGTCTTAAAGTCCTCTAACAATAACAAAAAATACCATATTTCAATTCCTTGCTCACAATTTTGATAGGTTGGGATTGTGTAATTCATATAACAAGCATACATATCCAATTAATTGCAGAAACGTTGTTAAAAATTCGATGGAATTTATTGTTGAAGCGCTATCAGGCGGATGAGTTTTGCAAATATGGGCAATTCATGCGCTTTGTTGATCGAAACGAATTGCAACAAACTTTCAAATGGCCTGAGTTTGAGATCACGGAAGATGACGTTGGAGAGTGGCGCTGTAACAAAGAGGAAAATAATTTCCTAGAAGTGGAAGATTTGGAGAGTTCGTTAGAAGATGCCCATAAAATGAAGTTAATCCAAAGAGGCGCTGAAAAGAATGACAAATTAATTCAGGGTTGTGATGAAAGCGTGGCTTGTCTTAAAAATCCTAATGGCAAAGAATATGCAGAAATCGGCGAATGGCAAGAAAGTCGCGAAGATAAAGACTGGAGAAACAACCCTAAAGACGATAATAACAAAAGTGAAAACTCATCATTCGAACGCTGTGAAGATGTTATATTTGGAGAACTCGTGTCAGCAATGCTTAAACGAATGGACGGGGATAAGAAACGCAACATTAAAAAAGAAATTATGAATTTGCTTTTGACGTAGGCATTCGATGTGTTTACGTTTTAAATAGTAACGTTTTTAAAATATCATAAACAATTCGGAATCAATTAAAAAATTTGTTTTGTTTAAATACACACATGTCGCACAATTGATTAAAACAAAGAGAAACTGTTATATGGTTTGAAAATTTGAAAGTAAATCGAAAAAAGCGGCGTAGGTTCTGCAGTTTTATACATTATGCGACCAGAACGTGGACCACGTTGAAAATATGATGGTTAATTCTGTTGGAACATGCTGCACCTTTCATATGTAAAAAAACAGTAAACCATGGTAGGCTAAGTTGGAAAATTTGCAAGTCAAACAAATGCAACAAGTTGTTTATTATTAAATAAACAAAACAATTTGTTGCATTGATTTTGAATATGTAAACAAAAAAGCGAAAATTTAGTGAAAGGTCTACATTTCTTTTCAAAATTATGTTCTATATTTTTTAAAGGTTTATTTAGCAACAAAAAATGTAATTTTTGTCAATACATATGTTGAAATACGCATACCAAAATGGCTTGAGAATAATCCCAACATACCAAAAATTTATTGTATTTTGACTTTTTTCAACAATGCTTGAGAAACACTTATGTTGCACAAACTTTTCTCAAATCTGTTCTTTGTTGACAAATTAGTTTTGATTTTTTTTTTAAATTGTCAGCTAAAATAGTTTTCTTTGGTAAAAAGCAAAATCATGCGAATTTAGACCCATTTCCGTACCGAACAAATACAAAGCTCTGTTGTGTGGCGCTACTTGAACCAAAGAATATTTTTAAAAAATAATACATTGCGTCGTTTCGAGTTGCGTCTCTTTTCAAAAACCAGAAAATTCGATTTGTGTCGTTGCAATTTCAAGTTGCGTCGGTCCGAGCTACATTGTGGATTACTATTTTTTGCATTTTTTACATTTTAATTTAAACTATGTTCCGTAACCCATTGTAGTGTGTTCGATTAGATCATTGGGGTGTAGTTGATTTCCAAATTTGTTTCTTATGCTCAGTTTTTCTGAGGCAAGCGAATGTTAAAACGTAACGAGGACAGTCACTGGAAGTCGACAGAAATTAGGCTTCTCTCACTTCATAGCTTTCTTTCGACTGGCTTTATGTGCGTCATACAATAGCCTTTAAAATTGAAAGTGATTTTTTTCCAAAACAAACATTCCTCACGGCAACTTTACATATTTCTGCGATAATATTCAAATGAATGTTCATAAACAGAAGCGCGGCCACAATAGAAGAATGAAAATAAATAAACAATCGGTTGTTTCGTTATGGCTATGGCAGAAAACCAAAATTCAATTAGTGTCTACGGTAACGGTTATGGCTGTGGTGTTATGGTATTTCACAAATAATCAATCACATTATTCCCCATAAAACTGGTTTGAACAGCTGTTTATAGGGTTATGACACGGCCATGGCAAAATTATACCACAAAGCCCAGCTGATTTGACTCTATGGTAATACTAGTGTCGAACTCGATATGACGTTTTCTGATTTAATTCCATTTCTTTCTTTATTCTTTCTTTCTTTATTTAATTCATACTCCAAGGCCAATTAATAAGGTACTCAATACCAAGTAGAAAAATTCAAGTTATTTTGAAATAAATAAATAACTTTCACATTATTAAAAATGAAGTTATAAAAGGCTTCCAGCAATAAAAAATGTTAACCATTAAAAAAGAGTAAAATGGAAAAAATAAAAGCTCAAAACAACGAAAATAAAATAAAGATAAATACCAGGATACAGGACATGATTCAACACTTTCAAACGAAAGCCATTATTAGACTGGGAAAAAATTCTAAGCTCATTAGGTAGATAATTCCATAAACGTGCAATACGTACAATAAAAGACTTTTCAAATGTTAAGTTATTTATTTTGGGTATAAATATCTGAGTACTCCTAGTCGACCTGGAAAAACTGAACATGTTAGCCAGAAACCTAGGAACACCACCTCTGATTGTTTTGTAAAAATAATAAAATAACTTAACAGATAAAAAGTGCTCAAAAGAAACTCCCAGGAAATCTATAACAAAATTTGAGATGTGATCACATTTCTTCAAACCATACACAAATCTTACGATAGCATTAACTATACGCTTAACTCTTAAACAAATACAATTGATCGTACCAGATACCAGCTCGAGCCCATAATTGATAAAAGAGCATTCGCCAACCTCTTTAACACACAATGGTAAAAATAAATTAGTACCATATAATCTACGAATAATAACAAAAACTCGTCTCTGAACGGAATCGACATGAGTCTCAAAACGAAAGCTTCTCATCTACCAAAATACCCAGCATTCTGTGACAGCTTACTGTCCAACATGAACAAGACAATTATAAATATCACTTTCGAATTAGTAATAACGAGAAACACGTCATCCGCATATAAGAGAGGAGTGCAATTTACACCATCACAACATTCAGAGGGGTTATTGACATACAAAATGAAAAACAAAGGACCTAATACAGAGCCCTGCGGAACACCACACGAAAGCAATGCCACACTTGAAGATCTGCCATTGTAATAGACGAATTGGGATCTACCAGACAAATATGATAACATAAGATGAGAAAGAGAATCAAATGCCCTTGTTAAATCCAACGAAACAATTACAGTATCTTTTTTAAGATTCGTGTTAGATCTCACTAACTCAGTTAAGTAAAGAAGCAAACTGGTGGTATTATGATTCAGTATTACGGAAAGCAAATTGACCATTATATATCTTGCCTGCAATATGAGCAAGTATTTTGTCCTTCATACCATGCTCACACAACTTAGCCATCACAGGGAGAATTGATATAGGCCTGAGATCATCAGGGACATGAACAATATTCCCCTTTGGAATTGGAACGACACGAGCTTGCTTCCACAAACAAGGAAACACAGACGACATCAAAACAGAATTGACCAAATCCAAAATAATATCACTCACATATGGAAAGATTAATTTCATAAAATCCACAGGTATTCCATCAACTCCGAAATATTTAGACTTTATTCTGTTTAGTGCATTAATAATTTCTTCCATACGAACACAACTAAAAGAAAATCCATCATTGCGTGCGTTAGACAATTGCAAATCAAAATTAAGAATATGTGAGTTCCTATATTGAAAAAATCATCAGATCGCATTTTTCTATGCACCAAAGGAACAAAATCAAACAACCCCAAAAAGAAAGATTTGATATTCGAGAACATTTAGTGTCAACATCCACAACAATCAGCATATCAATATTAAAGGCCGATAGATAAGAAAAAAAATCCGGCCAGTCAACACAAGAGTAATCTCGATACTCAACAGAATCACAAAATGTATTAACACCAATATTTGACGATGCAAAAATGAGTGAATGGTCAGATATCGATGGACATATTGCCTGAACAAACAGATGTACCATAGCACAATCATTTATCAGCATAAAATCAAACAGTGAAGACGCACGATGTGTAACATCATAGTGAGTAGGTTTGGAATTATGAAAAACTGACAAGTTTAACCGGAAGCAGACTGAACGGACACACATACATTTATGCGGATCAAACATATTAGTTTTAAAATTACCCACTATAACAATTTTTGAATACTCTAAATATAAATCACTATGAATATCTTCAAAAACATTAATATCACCTGGAGGAGGAAGATACACAACACCAAACTGAACATTTTCATCGCCAGACATAACCTCAATAAAAAGCGATTCGCATTTACCTATCACAGGTGTTCTGAAAACAACTTTATGAGAAATATCACTGGAAATATATATATATATCAACACTACCACCTCTAGAGGATCGACGGTCATTCCTCACAAATGTATACCCAGGTACATTTATTGCACTAGTTGGAATATCAGATTTCAGCCAAGTTTCAGATATGCCAAGAAAATTCAAGCTTGATCCCGATAAAATATCTTTGAGCTCACAAATCTTCGTTGTATTCATAGATGGCCTAATACAGCGTGAGTTTATATGGGCCATATTGAACTTATTACTGCAAGAAACTAAAACGGATTTAATATAATCATTGTTGCTGATCACCGGCCCCAAATTAGTACTAAAAGGCATCAAATACATAAGACGTAGTTGTGGCGGGGAACCAATTATAAGAATTCAACAAAATTACACTAATAAAATTTAATTTAAAAAAATTCATAATGAATAAATACAATTTTAACGCAGCTGAATACTACAAAATGTATTAAAAAAATAAATCAAATGATCAAGCACAAAAACAGGATAAGAAAATGAATGGAATTGAAAGCAATTAAATTAATCAAAAATTAAATCAATTAAGAAAAAAAAAAATCAATAGAAATTTTAATTCGAAAAAAAATAATGTTTGATATACAAATTCAATTCCCACCGCCTTCCGCATCCGCAAGCAATGACTCACATTGACTAACGTTGTAAGTATCCTCTCTACCATCTGAAAAAAACCCGTCATGCCTTTAGAAGATCAGATTCAAAATCTTAAATTTTTTGACTACTTTAAGGCGACGCAGTTTTTTGCAAACAAAGTTTAAATGCGATACAGCAGGCGAAAAATGATCATTAAGGTACACTCTATTATTTAAAGCAACTTGGACACCAAGTAGATCACAGATACGATAATTGCGAGTCTTGGTATGCAGTAGGTATACACTTTATAAAAAATAATGAAATATAAAATTTCACTGCAGGGCAATATGAACATATTTTTGCCTAATAATAGAAAAAATCGCCGTTGAACTTAACAAAACGCTAAGGACGATGGTGAGGAAACTTTTTTCGCACCTTAGAAATACAGTCGTATATTTCATGTTTCCTAAAATTGCAAAATGTAGAATAGTTTATGTATGTATGCAGTTTGGTTTCAAGTTGAAAGGGATGTGGCTTTTTCCACGATTTTCTAGCGAGTGTTTCAATTGTTGAGATATTTAGACCCACATCTAACAACTACAAATTCAGGGGAATCATATGAAAACATTGAAATTAAATATTTGAAGAACAATTCTTCTGCATTTTAAATTCATTATTCCAAAAATGAACATTTTTGAAATTAAAATAATTTATTGAAAATTAATTGTTTGGTTTACATTTTTGGACATATAACTCTGACACTTGTATTACGTACAAAAACAAATTTGGTCTTTACTTCAGTTTATTATTCGTAATGCCACATAGTTTGGTTTTCACAGATGAATAATTTTTGTTTGAAGAAAAAAGTGATTTTCAAAAAAATTATATGGCAACACTTTGTTAACATTTTGCTTCGTCAATTGAATTGAGCATTAAAATTTGCTAATTATTTTGAATAAAAAGATAAAAAATGGAAATTTAATTGTTTATTTGTCATTAAGACAACATTTTTATTACTTAAAAGTTAGAGTTTTGATAGAGTTTTAAAGTCACCCGTTTCCAAAAAAAAAAAAAAATACAATTTAATTTGCAAAAAAAGTGGTTTCAAACCAAAAAAATTGCGTTTTACGAAGAAGCTAAATACGAAATTAAAGTCACTTTCGCACCGAAATCGTTCCTGTGACATGCCTGTATATATACATTTTAGGGTCTAATATGAGTATTTCGAGAAGTTACAATCGAAATTACATATAATGGTGTAGGAATAATAAAAATGTCTTCCTTCAAAATGTACACATAGATTGGGCTTTTGTGATTTGAAGTTCTCGACATGTATGTACTATAAAAGAACATTTTAACATAACAGAGAAAATTAACAGTTTACTTTTACTGATAAAGTGACCTGATCAGATTTTATAAGTGCGTTTATGTAAATAGTTCATTCAATCAAAGCGAAAACGTCGCCGAAAACGTTATAAAAAATATGCCACTCGTTTTGCGTAAAGAGCTATGGGATTATTTTAAAATTATTCGATTAATGCGTAAAGAGCAGTCATTTATCATTCTCAAATAACTTTAAAATTATTTATTTACAGCCGCGTTTGGTTTTGAGCTCTTCATTTTTTACACACGCATGTGTCTATTGGCAAAAATACCCTAAACATTTGAATAGGTCAGTTTATATATGGTACAATAATTTCCAAGATAGAGCATAGCAATCTTTAAATTCTATTCAATGTACATGTCTTACAATAATTGATTTTGAAAATATTTTGTTTTTATTCTTCAAAACAATATATACATAAAAGTGGTAGAAGTCTGGCGCACTCAGAAACAAATTGTAATCAGCTGGTAGCTCTACCTTACTTTTTTACTATTTTATTGTACCGAACTTCCACAAAACATACACCCCATCAGCAGCGACCCTCATTCCATTGAAATGATTGCATTTTTAGTACCTAAGTAAAAAAGTCAAAACAAAAAGAAAAAAAAATCAAATTCAAAAGGACTTTTATTCATATTGCTTATTTTAAGTAAAGTTCGAGTACATTGGTTTCATTCATACAATTAAATGTCTTTTACATGGTTTTGCTTGTCTTTGCAAGGGGGATTGAGAACATGTCTATAATACTTGGAGACTTGACATCAATCAGGGGCCAAAATCTTGCATTCGATATCGATGAAATTTCGAACGAAATGAATGTTATGTGACCCCATTTAATATTGATGGTTTTGAAGTCTAACATTCGATGTTTGGTTGTTTATACCGAAAATTTCAATTGAATAAAATTAAAAATCATTTTGATCGATATTTTTTCGGAATCGGATGGTACAATTTGGCTCCAGATTCGAGAAATAACATTTTGGGTACATGTTTCATGGTTTGCTTTTGACAATAATTTAAACATCTAGATAGGAAGAAACTTTATAAATATTTATGGTATGTAAAAAGGAATTTGTGATATATATATATATATATATATATATATATATATATATATATATATATATATATATATATATATATATATATATATATGTATATATATTTATATATATATTTATATATATATGTGTATATATATAAATATATTATTTATATAATAACGTGTAGTGTGTTTACGTCTAATGCTTATTATTTAGATGTGGACCCATTTCAAGGACGATTTCCCGACTTAATTCGTAATGTTAGTAACCTTTTTATACACTGGTAAGTTAAGTGTTAAGGCCGGATGCACGGGACACGTGGCCGCGAGGAGTTGAAAAGCAACTGCACTAATTGGACCACAATCAAGCAGCTGCGTATGGGCGGCGAAACTATGTTGTTGCTGCATTTCCACAATTCTTGCCCATCTGTCCCTTACTACAAACGTGGGAAACTGAGTGCAGGCTGGCTTACTTTCGAAAAAGGAATGTTTGACATACCCTTCATTTGGTGTATTGTATTTGTGGTCGTTTGAGTTTACAAAACGTGCAAATTCTCACAGCTCTTCGATTTGGAGTCCCTAGCCCAAACGCGTCCCAGAAGACCTTTGACCTTCAGACTGGTTGACGTGCGAGACCCACGATACTTCCTTGGGCTGAAACGAAAAGAATAGAAAAAAAATGAATATTTTGACTTTAACAAACTTCGCCTTCCTTTCCAATGTACTATGTGGAGAAGTTTTGCGAGCCATCAATAGTTGTCGATACATTGGCTAAGAACCAAAACCTCCTCCTGAACCCGTTCGCTTTCACAAATTTTTGATCTTGCGCCTTCAACTTTCCCATTATGTATATTTTATAACGTTGTACAAATTAATCACTCTTCACATTTCATGAATTGTAATATGTCCCAATTACAAAAATTTTCTCTCATTCAATTTTATTTTTAACACAACAAAGATGGCCTCTTCCAGAACTGCAAGAATGTGCAAGTTTTAACTACGATAACAGATTTTTCCTTTATGATATCTAAAAAAAAATTATAAGGCTAGTAGATTCTTGTCTATGTTTTCTACATGTTTTTTAATTATTAAAAATTTGTTCGGTTCCAGAAGTGCAAAATTGTAAAACCTTTTTACTACGATAACTGATTTATTCCTTGTGATATTGAGAAAATTGTAAAACTAAAATTACTATATTAAGGAAAACCCACTGAACATGAATGGAATATGGTTTCTCCACAAAATTGAATCCAAGATAGAGGACAATATTGTTTTATCCCAAAGTAAACTTGGAAAATAGTCATTTCTGCAAATATGTAAATTTGGAATAATTTCAAATTATTTCCTTTTTTCAAAACAATACACACACATAATCTCTGTTTCAGATCCTGCAAGAATCTCTTCTCTCGATACCATAAAGGAAATCGGCTATCGTCGTAGAAAATTGTACATTCTTGCAGTACTGGAACAGGCCAATGTACAAACTCTGTATATGTTTTGACAGAATTGGGACATCGAAAGAAAAAATTGTATTTGGGAGGTGGCTTTGTTCTACCTTCTATAATTGTGCAATAGGTTGAACCATGGTAAAATTTAAAAGGTAAAGTCGTTTTAAATAGGCATGCCCATCTCTGCATTCTATATTTTGGTTTGCAACGGAGATCTGGGAAGAAACAACAACGGTTATGCGTGGACTTACCTGCTATGAGCACTTCCTGGCGGTGTACTAACATCCGATATAACATTGGCCATCGGTCCCAGGGGCGTATTTACATTGGCGTTGCCACTCAAACAGGCCCCACTCAATGGTGAACAGGCTCGCCGTTTGGACTTACGAATGGAACGTTTGCGGAACATGTCTCTGTTGGGAAGCCGTGACATTAAATTTGGGATCAGGGTAGCTCATATATCAACTTACCTGGATTTTTCAGGATTCTCCAATTTTAAGCGTATTTGTGACAATAACCCCACCAGCAACTCGTCAACGTTGTGATTTATACCCACAGAGGTCTCTATGAACTTGCAGTCGTATGCTGTTGCCATGGCTTTCCCTTCTACAAATTACAAAAAATCAATTTAAGTCAAGACTCGATGCTGCAACATGCCAGCGATACCAACCATCAGCACTGATAAGGCGACTGCGTGCCAAATCGGCTTTGTTTGCGACCAGGATTACTGCCTTCTGGGCAATGTTTTGGTTTGTCCACAAAACTTGCAAAATGTGTTCGGCAACATTGAAACTTTCTCGATCCGATGCCGAATATATTACACAATACCCGTGTGGATCGTAGCAGGCCAAGCAATCGTCGGGCTGTAGTAAGAAGAACAAACCATTAGTCGAAAAGTGTAAGTGAACGTGTGTGTGTGTGTGTGTAAATATATGTGTATGCATGCATCTTTCATTACCGTCATCTCAGCATACGGATGATCAATGAATATCAATTCAGATTCTTCGCCGCTCAATAGTACGGATACGGATTTTTCCCCGGAATCATCATCTATATGTTAATATAAAACGCAAAGAGTAATTGATAGAATATGGTTCAATTAAATCGGCGTTTACACAGTGGTGGCCCATGCATAAGGTCATCCAGCAAGTCAAACAATGTAAACGATTGAAATGAAGAAGTATTGAAATCGAAGAAGTAAACAAGTACAATGGTCGAAACAAAGTAGTTTTATTTCGTTTCAATAGCAAATGTTGACCTGCGGCCGACCTGATTTATGGTCACAATACACATACACATACAAGAATACAATATGTACAGAAGTTGAGGCATGCTATATATATATATATATATATATATATATATATATATATATATATATATATATATATATATATATATATATATATATATATATATATATATATATATATATATATTAGGGTTATTTGTGTGTTGTCAATGCATGTGTTCGTATGTTTGTTTTATACACAGATTGATGTCCAATTGATTAAATTAACAAAACACCTTGTACCATGTTGCTTAAAGAGGTTCCGACAGAAATCGGGGTTTGCCGTGACCTGGGCTACAAAAGACAGGACAAATAAAGGCAGGACAATTGTGAGAAGGCACGTAGGCGTCCAGACAATTGCAGGAAAGGTTTATAACACTGCTGACGTACAGACCTCAATCTATACCAGTTCAAATGTCATAGCTTTTCAACATTAGATTCATTTTTTTAATTGGCACGAAAGATAATTAAAAGATGTCAACCTTAAAAAAGGCTACAAAATCTACACATAAATCTTTGGTCCAGATCTGCTCACATTTATGCTCGTATATAGTCAAGATGTATATTTTCATTCGGTATTGAATTGAGACCCTTGGTATCGATCAATTGTAATTTGTTTATTTGTATGAATTAATGGCAATACAGCTTGAGAACAAAAGCATAATGCAAGCCACACACCACGATACAATTGGTTGTACAACTGGGAGAGGTTGTATTGCAAGCCATTTCATTCATGCTCTATAATTAACTCAATTGCTTTTATTTATAATTAATTTTTGAAATCCCATTTTATAAATTGAAAATCCTTTTTATATATATATATTAAAATCACACATTTGATTGGAGTTCGTATTGTTTTGATGTGCGAAACAATGGTTCGGTTGGTACAACAAGCCAAATATCAACAATTTTTGATTTTTCATATGCAAGCCACGCACAATACAACTGGTTGTACCAACCGATTGTAATGTTTGTGGGCATGTCGCATACAATTTCATTTTGTTTTTATTTTTGAAGAGGCAACACCATTGTTTCGCACATCAAAACAATACGAACTCCAATCAAATGTGTGATTTTAATGTATATATAAAAAGGATTTTCAATTTATAAAATGGGATTTCAATTTCTTCAACATTCCTACCTTATGGTTATTGTACAACGATTGAGGCCATGTTGATGAGTGCGTGCATTATGTGAGAATGAACATATAACTTTATAGATGGTGCGAGTTCGAATAAAGAACTAGTGTTAAAACATACATAAATATTTTTTTTTATTGTTCTATAAACATACTTTAGATTTAATTACCAAAACAAACAATAAATACAAAAATCAAACACACCTACATATTTATAAGTTTTAAAAACTGCTTATACAGCATTATTATATCACATATTTGGACTATTTATTGTTACAGTTAATTTTCTTTATTTTAGTTCATTGACCATTGGTTCATTCACTTTTGCAATGTTTTTAAGTTTCTTTAACACATTTATTTATTTTGCTTACATAGCATTTAATGTCTACTAGTAACCGACCTACATTACAATTAATTTATATCAGCATTTATCAATAGCATTTTTTAATTAATTATGTTAAGAAATTATGTATATAAAGACAGCCAGAAATAAAGAAAATTCAGTCGTCTTTTGTAGTGACTAAACTAAGAGTTTTAATTACTATCTAGGCGGCTTCCTTCAAGTTCATGTGCTTGGAAGGAAATTAATTTGGATACTAAGTGTCAGTTCAAATTTATGTGTTTGGATTGAATCGCACTAGATCCTACTATCACAACATTTTTTGGTGACCCCGATCAAAACATTTTTTTTTTGGAGGCCCCGGCGAGATCGTTTACACACATCCTTTTGCCCCACAAGCGGTAAAGGATTTGAATCGTAAGACGTGATCGTTTACACACATCCTTTTGCCCCACAAGTGGTAAAGGATTTGAATCGTAAGACGTGATCCTGACGATAACTAGACCGAAACATTTTTTGGTGACGTTATCCACAAGGTGTGAGGACGTAACGCACGCGTACCAATTTCAAAAAACCCCCTTTTGGAGCTCTGGAGGAAAACCAGGAGGAAATTGCCTGTAACTAATCATCATACAACAACTGCTGCTACTCGCTGATAAATCAACAAACAATAATGGCAAACGTTCAAGAGTTTATTTCTCAGCAAGAAGAAAGAGGCAGCAATTTCGAAAAATTCGTCTCTACTATAAAGAAGGCACCTCTTGAAAGGAGAACGGAAGAGTTCTACAAGAGCAAACTTGATGAACTAAGGCTGTTATGGCAGAATTTTGAGAAGGCAGAAAACAGAATTCGCGATGATCCATCATTGTCAGAGGATGATCCGTATATTGCTCGGAATCTATATAGAACGATTGGAGAGAAGTTCAGCTCAACAATGGAATATATAGACGCGGAAATAAAGAAACTGAGGTCAGCCAAAAGTAAGCCAGTTCCCACCTTGAGAGAGAAATCGACTGAAGTTGTCGCAGGAGACAAAATACCTTCCCGTGTTGATGGGCTTGTCAGAATGATAAATGCTCGAATGAGTGCCCTTAGTCGTCACTTGCAAGGCTTGGGCACAATCGAAGCGGAACAGCCGAAGCAATTTTATAGCATCAAAGAAGATACTATAAAAAAGCTATGGAATCAAATAACGGAGTTCTACGATGAAATATTGCAGCAGATTGAAGATCCATCGAAAATTGGATTAAGTCAAGAAAACTACGATATGCTGGAAGATTCGGTACAAGACAACTTAATAAAACTTGCAGTCTTGAAAGACAAATGCAGCGAAACCGTGACCATTGCACCTCAATTAGGGAGTGACATTATAGCACACAGTTCACTCCCACTACCAAAGGTAACAATTCCTCAATTCAATGGGGATTGTTTGAAGTGGCGTCAGTTCTATGAACTTTTCTTGGAGATGGTAGACAAACAGTCTCTTCCAAATGTTCAAAAAATGTGGTATCTCAAAACCAATTTGTCTGGCGAGGCTGGCAAACTAATCAGTCATCTATCCTTGACAGAGGATAATTACAAAACGGCATGGATGTTGCTGCAAGAACGTTATAACAATAAGCGGGTTCTTGTTTCCACTCTAGTAGAACGGATTTTGAGTCAACCAAATGGAACTTCATCAACGGCCTCCATCAAGGCTCTGCATGACACTACAAAGGAATGCATGCTAGCCCTCAACAATCTTCAAATCGACACAACGTCTTGGGATGCTCTATTAATTCAATTGATCACAAAGAAATTGGATCACGCTCTGTACATACGATTCATGCAATCACTGGCGAATCCGAAGGAAGTTCCTACTATGAAAGAGCTGTTTTCATTTTTGGAACTTCAATTCGAATCAATGGAATCGATTGGAAAAGCGGCATCTACGCACAAGGGTTCAACCAAAACTGTTTCGTCCGTAACATCAGTGGAGGATCACAGGAGTTGTAAACTATGCAAGAACGACTCCCATCCAGTTTATCATTGTAAGAAGTTCTTGGCAATGACAGAAGGTGAGCGATTGAAATGGATACAGCAACATAAATTGTGTGTAAATTGTTTCAAATCGGACCATGCAGCAAAAACTTGTTTTTCTGGCAACTGCAAAATATGTAGTAATAAGCACAATACACTGCTACATTTGCCAAAAAAGTCTCAACCGTCGCCGAAGGCCTCAAATCAATCACCACCAACAAAAATCGATATCGCACCAGTTAACGTTACTGCAGTTTCTTCGGCATCAGCAGAAGATCAGAAAAATGTAATTCTAGCAACGGCTAGAGTCATCATCAAAGCGACTAACGGTATGTCAGGCGAATTTAGAGCGGTGTTAGACTCGGGTTCGCAAGTGAACATTGTGACGGAAAGACTCATACAAAAATTGTCACTTAGAACAACAGATGCCTCTTTATCTATTTCCGGAGTCGGAAGGATTCAGAAGAAGGCTTATCATCGGGTAAACATACAAATGTTATCAAGCAATTCTGAATTTTCCACAAATTTGGAAGCATTTGTTTTGCCCACAATTATACCTCCGCAACCAAATCATGATTTGGATATACAAAACTGGCAAATTCCCAAGAATATTAGATTAGCAGACCCTAATTTTAACGTTCAAGGAAAAATTGACATTTTACTCGGAGCTGAGTTTTACTTCAGTTTAATGCAACCAGGCACAATAAAACTAAATGGTCATCAACCCATACTCCAAAATACTGCGCTTGGCTGGATTGTAGGTGGTTTAGTTCAACAATCGTCAACGGACGACACATCAGCAGCGCTAACATGCGCAATTTTTAGTGAAACATCACTGGAACAAGCTATCGAAAAATTATGGAAACTTGAGGAAGTGGAATCAACTGAAAAGGTCATGTCTCCATTAGAAACCCTTTGCGAATCTCACTTCAATCAACATGTTAAGACGGATCAGAATGGTCGTTTCATCGTCAGCTTTCCGTTTCAAGAATCTCCAACAGCATTGGGGAAATCACATGCAATGGCTTATAACCGATTTATGAGCCTTGAACGCCGACTTCTACGGAAGGAAGATATCCGAAGTCAGTACATTAAATTTATGCGAGAATATGAACAATTAGGACACATGCAAAAGATTGACGTGTGTACCGTATCAAATCCTAAATATTTTATTCCGCATCATTGTGTTCTCAAGCCCGATAGTACAACAACAAAACTTAGGGTTGTATTTGACGCATCAGCGAAAACTTCATCAGGTCAAT